TGCATAATGCCCTATACCATTAACAGGTTCTCAGATCAAATACATTTTTTCAGCAATAAGTTTTATTTCAACAAATTCCTTATACAATTTAGGTCATGTGTAGGTGTGTTTTTCAATAAACAATAATGAAATATTCAAAATTCTCACACACACACACACACACATGCATTTTAAGTGTCAAATTATAAAATATTTAACTACACTCTAAACAATGCCGGGTCAAATATGGACAAACCCAAATGTTGGGTTAAAAATGTAATTTAAAATTTTAACCCAACTTCAACTTTCACTTTCAACTGTACTTTTTTTAATTACATTTTTAACCCAACATTTGGGTTTGTCCATATTTGACCCAAATTTGGGTTGAAATAACCCAGCATTTTTTAGAGTGTAGTTCTTCCACTCTCTCTGCCCTTAAAATGAGCATTTTAGTACAAATATAAAAACAGAAATAACAAACTAGAAAATGTTACATCGATGGTACATAGGGCCTACAGGTACTTAAAATTATTGCAAATGGATGCTCCATTTTAACTATAATTTAGCAATATTTTTTGTGATATTCTATTTTTTTTATGGCAAAACTATATGTGAGGACTGGAGCTACAAAACAATTTAATTATCTTCAGCATACTATTATTTACTGCTATCACTCCTACTTCAGTTTCATTTGAATGTTTTTAAAAAAATACTTTAAGTTAATTAAGCGCACGTCTTCGCTGATTCCTGTGTTGTTTTGTGTGTTCCTCCCTCAGTGAATGATCTCCTGTCCTGACATCATGCACATTAACCTCACTGACCACCAGTCACAGGAAACTCAGTGTGCAGGCTAACATTACTGTGAGTGTTTGATGACCAAGCGCACAAACGGAAAGATACTCTTTCTTCTTCATTAAGTAAGCATATGCGATGGCCTGAAAAGTATTTGAAAACTAAAGCCACACTTGCTTATAAAATCAAGTGGGATCTGCAAACAAATGATGTCTGTGCATCTTTTGAAACAAACCACTTTTCTTAGTCATTTTTGCAATTACTTTAACCAGTTGATCTCAGAAGAGTGATTTATAGTGATATAATATGAAGTCAGTTCTCCTCAAGTTCACACAGGTCTCCTATCAGAGTAACCACAGGTGTAGGAAGCCCCTCCTTTCAAAAAGCACAATGTCCTCTGATTGGATGATTGGATCAGTGTGTTTTGATTGGTCAACCCCTTACCATTTCAACACAAATATTCTGATGAAACTCAACCAGTCCTCTGTCATATGCAATTATTCAAATAAGGGATATTGTGGTGTGTAAGTTCCGGGAAGAAAACTCAAGACTACAATCAAGGTGTTTCAGCGAGTTCAGAAACATTGCTCACTGATATTGAAAATAAGTTCCTTTTGGAGGGGATTTTGAAACTTTGCAGACCTTTTTCATGCTCAAACAGCCACAGCATTGCACACTAAAGAAAGTTGAATAGGACCCCTTTAATTATCCAAATGTTTTGTGACCTATAAGGATTTTATTTGTTACATTGTTACTCCCCAGCCACTGAAAAAAAATGAAGACTAAGATCTGAGTTTAAGTAAAAAGGAGCATGCGCTTGTTCTTAGCAGCTCTGTCATGGCTCTTTTTAACAATTTCAATAGATAAACATCCCTGTGGATTCCAAAATTAAAGTAACCCTCAGGGGCCGGATGTGCTTCAAAGAATGAAGACATCAAGGAGGGTCATAAGATGTATTTTTAGCTGCATGGGCCATCAATTTTAAACATTCGTGCATTCAGCAACAAATCTGAGCAGTGATTTACCCACAAATGCATTTACACAGAGTTTGCATCATAATCTAAACATAACAGTCATGTTGTAGTTTAACATTTTAAAATCAATCCTCGTTTTTCAGTTTGTTTAAGGTTATTAAGGGATTAGGGATTGCCTTTCCATGTTTTATTCATTGCTGTGAGCCAACTGAAACCTCTCATTGTGAATTAATTACATATGTAACATGCCTGTCGCGAATGGACTCAAGCCCAATGTGTCCTTAAAAGACTCCCAAGGCTCAGGAAATGTTGCTTTGTGCGACCTTTACAGGAAAGCCCATATTAAATGACTTTTGGTGTTGCAATTAATTTAATTAACACAAATCAAGAAGAATCATGAGTAGTATGTTCAATAGGAGGAAAAAGATGTCCAACCTAAATCCAAAGTCAAGACGATCAACCTAATTAACAGAATAAACCTGATTATTGTTGTGCACAGTTTTGACCCTATAAAATGCTGTGTTCTTGCAGATCTTGCAAGCATCAACATGCTCAATGCACTTTCAAAGCATATCTACAGTCCGAAAGCCCTTATGCACAGTGAAATGTAACATTCCTTGAGTGGAGATTGCAGCCAACTAATTATTTATGAGAGGAAGTAACTGTGTGCACTCGTGCCTAATGGAAAACGATACTTGGGACTCGTCAAGCTCTTTGGCATTCGGTCTATTAAAACGTCAGACCTCTTTCTGTAGCCACAGATGTGATAACCTGACCCGTGTGGTCATTTTTAAATATGTGCAAATCAGTAAAACAAAAAAGTAGACTATGGGGAGACACAGGAAGTTGTCACAGGGGTTATATCTAAGGAACTTGAAGGGTTAGATGTAGAAATCCAATTGCTTTCAAATACCTACAGTAGTTAAAAACTCATAATTTAGGATATTTTTGTGTATTCCATCTTCCAAATTATAGCTGTTGGGTAAAAAAAGAGCACAATAGAATCACACTGGGATTATGCTAAGGGTCAACTGAAGGCAGATTTAAACTAAACTTAACTTAATCTGCATTTTAAAGACAAATGTTAATATATTAAATATAATTTCAAGAGGAAATTCTACCATTCTTTTGATTTTCTTTTAACCTTGCTGAGAGAAAAAAAAATAGATAAGTAAAGCTTAAAGGGACAGTTCACCCAAAAATGAAAATTCTGTCATCATTTACTCATCCCCATTGCATTTGTATTGCTTTAATTTTTCTTCAGAATACTAAATAATATATTTTAAAGAATTTTCGTTGATTTCCATTGTGTAAGGCAAGGCAAGGCAAGGCAAGTTTATTTATATAGCACATTTCATACACAATGGTAATTAATCGTAAATGGTATTAGAATAAAAAATAAAGTACAGTAAAAACAGTCGGACGAACATTGGCACAGTGCTCATTCAGTAAATGCATAGCTAAACAGATGTGTTTTGAGTCTGGATTTGAATGTGACTACTGTAGGAGCACATCTGATCTCCTCTGGAAGCTGGTTCCAGCTGCGGCTGGCATAATAGCTAAAAGCAGACTCTCCATGCTTAGAGTAAACCCTTGGTATTTCTAGCTGATGTGATCCTAATGATCTGAGTGATCTGTTAGGTTTATATTCAGTGAGCATATCTGCAATATATTGAGGTCCTAGCCCATTAAAAGATTTATATAGCCTACCAGTAATAATACTTTAAAGTCAATCCTAAATGTAACTGGGAGCCAGTGTAAAGACCTGGGGACTGGTGTGATGTGTTCATATTTTCTGGTTCTGCTCAGGATCCTGGCAGTAGCGTTCTGTATGAGCTGCAACTGTCTTATGGTCTTTTTAGGAAGGCCAGTGAGGAGTCCATTACAATAATCCACCCTGCTGGTGATGAAAGCATGCACAAGTTTCTCTAAGTCTTGATTGGAAACAAAGCATCTAATTCTTGCAATATTTTTCAGATGATAGTATGCTGATTTAGTTATTGCTTTGACATGACTACTGAAACTAAGATCTGACTAGAGACACACCAAGATTCCTGACTTGATTTTTAGTTGTTAGACCCCTAGCGTCAAGGTATGCATTCACCTTGAGAACTTCATCTTTGTTTCCAAACGCAATGACTTCAGTTTTGTCTTTGTTTAACTGAAGAAAGTTTTGGCACATCCAACTGTTTACTTCATCAATGCATTGGCACAGGGAGTCAATGGGGCTGTAATCGTTAGGCGATAGGGCTAAGTAGAGCTGTGTGTCGTCTGCATAGCTGTGGTAAGAGATTCGGTTCTTTCTCATTATTTGGCTCATTGGGAGCATATATAGGTTGAACAGGAGTGGTGCAAGAATTGAGCCTTGAGGGACTCCGCATGTCATGGACGTCCACTCAGACTTATGGTCTCCTATACTCACATAATAACCTCTCCCTTCTAAGTATGACCTGAACCATTTTAGGACTATCCCAGAAAGCCCCACCCAGTTTTCCAGCCTGTCAAGTAGTATGTCGTGATCGACAGTGTCAAATGCAGCACTGAGGTCGAGTAGTACCAGCACTGATAATTTCCCTGTATCAGTATTTAAGCGAATATCGTTTATTATCTTTATGAGAGCTGTCTCTGTGCTGTGATGCGATCGGAAACCAGATTGAAAATTGTCAAAGTATCCATTTGAGCTTAAGAATTTGTTCAGCTGATTGAAGACAACTTTTTCAATTATCTTGCCTACACTTAGATTAGTGTAGGCATTAATCTAAATTTTGTTTTTTTGATGTTTCACAGAAGTAAGTAAGTTGTCAAAATGTAGGTCACAGTTGATAATAACAACATGATGGTGAATAAGTGATGACATCATTTTTTATTTTTGAGCGATCTGTCCCTTTAAGTTCTTCATTTATTGTTGCTGAATTATGTTCAAAAGTTGTTTGGGGCAAGTTGTCCCATACAAACAATTTATATGAATACCTGTTAGCCAAACATTTTTTTTATTATTATTCTGTATATGTTTACATGCATGTTGGATGAATTGTTTTACTGTTTAAAAATTACAAAAAAAAAGTTAGTCCTTTTAGTTTGAATATAATTTGATGAAAATGGCATTCTTACTTTAAGATTAAAAATTCCATTCCCCTCAAATCATTCAATAAATAGCAGGTTTCCAGTGTGATAACATACCCTGTTAGAAACAGTGTTGATGGAACTGTATCTTGTTTACTGGACATAAAAAAAAAACAGAAATAGAAAAAGACTTTCAAAAATACAACCTGATATATTCAGTGTTAAAACTTGCCCCGGTCTCCCCTACACCTAAAAGTCATTTGTTCTGACATCCATCTTCTGAGTTAATATGCTTAACCTCGCTCTCATCTCCAAGCACATGTAGCTCCACCAAAGGACGTTGCATTTCGTTGTCCACCCTGTGCAAACTGACATAACCGACCTCCATAGTGTTAACAGAGCTGCCCTGATTATAAGTGGATACTGGATCCTTGCTCTGAATAGCAAGAGGTCTTCTGGTGCACAGGCCATGGCAGCACAGAAGTCGAGCGAAAGAATCTCTGAAATCAGAATTGAAAGCATAGATGATCGGGTTTAGCGATGAGTTGCACCAGCCGAACCACACGAACACGTTAAAAGTTGCTTCACTGACACAATTTGGCTTGTGGCAGAAAGGAACCGCACAATTCAGGACGAAGAACGGGAACCAGCAGCACACAAACACCCCCATAATCACGGACAGAGTTTTAAAGAGTTTGGTTTCTCTTATGGCGCGGTGTTGGAGAGGACAGGTGCGCGCACCTGCCCTGCAACTCTGCGCGCGCTCTGCTGCGCGCTCCAGCGAAGAGATGCTCTTGATTTGAACCTGAGCAATGCGGTAGATGCGCGTGTATGTGACCAACATCACTGCTACGGGAATGTAAAAACTTATTAGGGAAGATGATATGGCATAAGTTCTACTCAGACTCGAATCACACATTTCGGTCCAGTTGCTTGTGTTGACCGTGCCCAGATCTGCGCGGTGCCAGTTCAGCTGCACGGGCACGAATGATATGGCCACTGATACGATCCACGTTACGCTGACCATGACAAGGGCGACTTTACGGTTCATCTTTCTCTCGTACTGAAATGGATCTGAAATCGCCCAGTATCGATCCAAGCTGATCACGCACAGGTTGAGGATGGAGGCTGTGGAGCACATAATGTCAAAAGCCACCCAGCACTCACAGAAAGAGCCAAACGCCCAGTGTCCCGTCACCTCCGTGGCCGCTTTCCACGGCATCACGAGAACAGCCACCAGCAGGTCGGACATTGCCAGAGACACGATAAAGATGTTGGTAACTTTTCCTCTCAAGTGACGGAAGCGCAAAACCGCAGCACAAACCGTGAAATTCCCCAAAAGCGTCCACAGCACGAGGAGAGAAAGAGCGAACCCCAGGAAAATGCGACCCGCTGGCTCTCCGTGAGCGCGCCATGAAGGCATCAGGGATGAGGTAAAGTTGTACATGTCCTTAAGTGTCAAAAACAAAACAAAAACATTCCAATATATGTTCAAGTTCAAGTTCATTTATTTATATAGCACATTTAAACAGCCGCTTAGACAGACCAAAGTGCTTTACAGAACACAAATAAGAAAAGTAAAAACAGCAAAAACAGTTCCGTGTGGTGGACACCGCATGCAAAACAATCCAATCTACTCGAGCGTTTTGACCTGATCTTATGGGTGACCTCATTGTTTCTTAAGACCCTCGCTGAAATGTTCACATGGCTGAACGACAGTCTGAAGTGTCTCGTGTCAGGTTCCTTTCTATATAGTGCCGGTCACATTCATACCGTTGTAGAACAATTTTACTTAATAGACACATAGTGGCCCCAAAACGTATTTGGACACTTAATCCGCGCTTAAAAATGCATGAATGTCATTGCAGTAGCCTACAAAACAAATATACTTCCCTTTAAACACACCTTTGAACAAATTCACGAAAAAACTTTATTTTAAATGTAGAAATGTATAGACAATAAAATAAAAGTTAGTGGAACATGTAGCCTATTGTTTGTTTTTGCAGTTTTATCATGTCCAACATTTTTGAAGGCCCCTCATTTAATGTAATGGGGAACATCCTCAAACCTTTCAACATTTCATATTTCAACCCTTTTAACCATTGTTTAAGAAAAGCAGTCAATATTTTTATATGTAGATATCTAGATACATGATTATTTAGATTTTTCCAAATTATGATCCAAATTATTTTGATAGTTTGTGTGATCTGTTAAATTCTGCATTCACCATATGCATTCCTACACAATGTATCTTTAATTTAATTATCTCCAAGCAGAGATTCTGTACACACAATTCATAAATATTGTTCATTTACCTTTCATGTGCCTGTTTTGATACTCATTGAAAGTAAAAGATAGAAATAAAAATAAAAATATCATCCCAACTAGAGTCCAGTGAATCTGCCATTTCCAGCCCTATATATAGTTTATATTTAAATAAAAATTAAAAAAATTTGAAAGTATTTTGTTCTTTATGACCTATTGAACCTTTTGTGTGACAAGCAGGTGTTTCATGTATGGATCATTTTCTATGACATTCATCCAAATAAGTTTTGCCTTGGTTTTGGACATTTTATAGTTCTATTTTTATAGTTTTCTAATTCTATTTGAGTCCTTCTACTCCCTCGCCTTTCAGATGCTCTTGCTCCACTTTAGCAGCTGGAGTGGAGTGTGATTTTTATGATTGGTTCATGGATTATTTTCATAGATTTGAGCTAGGGGGGAAATGTGGTCATATGTTAAATGAAGCAAGTTATCTCATGTTGTAATTTCATACAATTTATTAATTACAAATGTTGTCCAAAGCAAAATAGTATGACGTACCCTTGTACGTTTTGTGAGTTGCTTTGAGTTTCATAATTGCTAAATGGTTTAGCTGCATACATGTTCGACTTTTTTTGGCAAAATTTTGTAAGTGCCTACCAAAATATCAAAAATACACATAGTATGACAAACCAGGATAATTACAACTACAGTTTTCTTTGTTCATGTCTGTCAGATTCGGTTAATTCAGAAGAAATAAATCTCGCACAAGTGAAACACACTGCAGCAGCTTCAACAACATCTATTCACAGACTTTATTTAACATAGCAAAGTGAATATCATTATCAATATTCAGTGAGTGCATTAGTGGATATCAGCCAACTAAAATAGCATTGGTCATAAGCACTATAAATACCATAGGGCAATACGAAATCACAACAGGGAAAGCAATACAGCAGGCTTGGAATTGACCTTGTATTGGTCCAAAACAAGAGGAATCACCCTTTATCTAGTGGAAGTTTAGTATTAAGACGTTTAGTGTACACAGTGAGGCTAGTGCCATTTGGATGTGGAGCAATACTGTTAAAATCTCACAATTGAAGAAAAAGAAAAATGAAACGAAAAGCCTTCTCAGCTCTCTGAATGCATGTGTGACTTACTGTTGCTGCATATATAGTTGATTTTGCATTTGTAATACTGAGGTAATTTGAATATCTTCTCTAGTCAACATCTAATCTTGCAATAAGCATAATCTACAGAGCTAAGAAGAGCTGCATGCAGCTTTTTTTTACTAAAGGTAAAATGAAAATAAAAAGTGATATAACAAACGTTTCTTGTAAAATTATTCCAATTTGATTGGATGAAAAATAAAAGTATAAATAGAGAGTACGAATCAAAGTTCAGATGTCAATATTACCAACATCTAAAAGTGAAATCATGCAATCCATCACTATTCTTTACCACAAAAGACTGATAACACAGAATTAAAACCATTTCAGTGCACAGAGAACATGAGAGTTAAAAGTGCTTGCAGGGGCAGATCTTCGCTCAGCTTCAGAATGTGCTTGTGCCAAAACCGATCTCAGAACTGCATTCTACAGCACTTTTCCCTCAACATCACTAATAAGTTATCTTTAGTTCAGTAAGTTATCCAGTAGGAAGAGCACCATTTTGTGGGATGACCAGCGACTGGCTTCACAGGGCTTTATAGCAGAACATTTTCAACACTATGTCACAAACACTGGGGTCACATCAGCAGAATGAGTAACCTGACTCCGCCAGATGGATTTGCTCCGCATATCCATCTGGAAACCTTCCGTTGAAGTAGTTTTGGTAAGGGGCGAAAATACTGGTTAGCTGATTGGCCTATGTTGGTGATAGACGGGCCAAATCAACCAATCAGATCAACGAAGCATATGACGTATCTTTTCCTCTGAGAAAAGCCTCCAGAGCAGTGTTTTGCTCTTCTTTCAGTGAAGAAATACTCTGTAATTCCGATAAAACTTGCTCGATAGCCACGCTGATGCTAGTTTCATCCGCTGAAGCCGACATGTTCTTTAGACTGAACTGTCGCGCTTCTCGTTGCGTCACACCTCAACCCGCCTCAAAGCCAACGCTGATTGGACGTTCGTTTGGTGAACTGCTCCCAAATTTTCTTTAACGGAAAGTATCCAGACTGATCTGCGAGTGAAACCTTGAAAGCTCGCGAGATCAGGATGGTCTCACGAGGCTACAGAATGAGGGGCTCAACTCAAAAACATAAGTAGTTATATTAGAATTGTTTAAATGCTACTTTTTCCATTATGGATATAGAATATTTTCTAGTGATTGTCTAGCTATCTATAGGTATTTTTCTAGGTTTGCTTTAGCAGTGATTGTACAATGTACACAGTAATATTCTCTGTGGACGGGAAATTTTCTGCACAGGTAAGGTAGTGATATTCTGACATGCATGCAATGCACAAAAATCTGTTTATAGTATGGCCCTTTGAGAGGGGAATACTGATGATTTGTCTTACACACGCACACACACGCACACGCACGCACACGCACACACACACACACACACACACACACACACACACACACACACACACACACACACACACACACACACACACACACACACACACACACACACACACACACACACACACACACACACACACACACACACACACACACACACACGCACACACACTGCTGAAGGCTCAACCAAGGTTAGTGATGTTGGAACGACCACCAGGGGGAGCTACAATGCGGTGGCCGGAGCGCCTAGGAATGTTGTCATCGGTTTGAGCCCCTAAAAATGTAAAAATATTAAAGAAAATATACACTTACTTTAATGTGATATATAAATTAATATATTTCCCAAAAGATTTGTGAATATTATTTTCATTATTAGAAAAGGTAATTTCCTCTAATCTAACCTTATCTTACCTGATAGGCTGAAGTTTGACTGATGCAAGTTTCTGATTGGTGGAGGCTGGTGTGTAGTGGGTGAGGTCTTGGCAGAGGGTGATGGGGTTATGTATTTTGGTGTTGCTGGGACATCATATACTGGACCATCATACATCCCACGAGAAACTCCCTGGTTGGTCATCATCTGCCAAACACCAGTTAAAAGACATGTTTGTCACCGTGAGACGTGAACCTATAAAATTTGATAATACACTATTGTTTTCCACTATTTTTGTCCCTGGATTATTTACTACTAATTACTTGATTATGTAATCATTTAACAAATAGATACAAAGCAACTATTGAACCTTTATGCTACTACACTATTCTTCAAAAGTTTGGGATCAGTACGATGTTTTTTGAAAGAAATTAGTAGTTTTATTTAGCAAGAATGCAGTAAATTTATCAGAAGTGACAGTAAAACATTTATAACACCAAAAAAAACAAATTTCAAATGCTGAACTTTCTATTCAATGAATTTTGAAAAAAAATTGTATCATGGTTACAAAAAATATTAAGCAACTGTATTCAAAAATAAGAAATGTTTCTTGAGCAGCAAATTAGAATGATTTCTGAAGGATCATGTGACACTGAAGACTGGAGTAATAATTCTGAAAATTCAGCTTTGCCATAGCAGGAATAAATTACATTTTAAAATATATTAGAACAGAAAACAGTTATTTTATTAACAGTAAATTGTAAAAAGAATTTCACACAATCACTTTTTTTTTAAATGCAGACCTTTTGAGCATAAAAAAAATCCTATTGAACCCAAATATATATAACATCACTTGAAAATAGTTTAATATAACATATCTAACTAAGACTGAGGGAAGCTCAGTGAATAAATCATGTCAAATATTCACAATTTAAACTAGCTTGAAATGCCTAATCTAGAGTCATACCTTGTTGCGGTACTGAATGCGCTGGTAGGCAATATCAGGGAAAGGCTTGCGGGAGATAAAGCGTCCAGTCCCCTGCTGAACCTGAAGCTTCCCTTCCTCAAACACAATCCTGCCCTGACTGACCACATACACCGGACCACCATGACACTCCATCCCCTCAAAAATATTATAATCAAGAGCCTAGAAAGAAAAAGAACAGTGATGTTCTAGAAGAAAATCCGTTCTATATTCCACACATTTTCCAGTGTTTATCAAGCATGAACAAAATGATCATTCATATTTTGAAATCATTTAAGGTTTAGTTAAAATACAGAAGATTCCCTGTGATTTCTTGCACCAACCACACATAAAGAAGAGAGAAACATCTCTGATGCACGTTAAAATATGTCATTAGCAACTAATGTTCAGTTCGGTTCCGTACACACTGCGTAAAATTTTTGTAAATGCGGTTGTCACTACCTGCATTTTTTAGGAGGTCATTCGGTTGTAGAATGCGGTTGTCAATCCTGTAAATTACTGAACTGTGTGTGTGTGTGTGTGTGTACTGAACATAATTGAGTACTAAAAGGTGAATTGACAACCAAATTTAGTTGCAGTGTGTACGTGGCCTTCATGTAGGCCTACTACTTTTATAAAAAAGAGTGTAATAATTCCGTCCAATTCAAATGTATACAGTGTTAAATGTAGGTATAACTAAATATCAGCAATCCAGAGATTCATTCAATATTACAGTATCTTGCAGAGCTTTCCAATCCTCACCGACTGCTGCGCTTTAGCTGTGATGGTCTTGATCTTGGCGGGGTCCCAGATAACAATGTCAGCATCTGAACCCACTGCTATCCGCCCCTTCCGGGGGTACAGGTTGAAGATTTTGGCTGCATTAGTGCTTGTAACTGCAACAAACTGGTTTTCATCCATCTTCCCCATGGCCTGCAGGGAACAAAATTTAGTGGTGACTGATGAATTCATCCCGTACAGATAAATGGTTCACAGATTTCACAGATGCGCTTACCACAGATTTGTCCCAAACAAAACCCATTCTCTCTTCCACTCCATTTGTCCCCTCAGGTATAAGGGTAAAGTTGTCCTTCCCTATGGCCTTTTGAGAGGTGCTGTAAGCACAATGTCCACTGCCCACAACCTGCAGATCCCCACTGAAGAAAGAAGATTAAAAGGCACATAACAACAGGGGATGCAACTACAAACCGAACACAAGCTGTCCTCTAGAGATAGCTTTGATGTTCTTTGTTACCTTATTTTTATTTAGAGGTTGCATAATGTGTCATGGAAAGTACAACTGTACACCAAGTTTGGGGTCAGTAAGTCCGAATACTGTAGGTCTTGATGACCAATTGACTTATCGGTAAGCCCCGCCCCCCTTAGTTACTGTTGCGAACTCGAACAAACAAATGGAGTTGCTAACTGTCATTTAATGACAGCTGTCAGTGTGAAAACCTTGTCCCAAGATGTTTTTGATAAATTTTGGACACAGAAGGACCACCTCTTGTCGAGGTGCTTTCATGTGGGACTTAAATATGCCATGGAGGGATATATAAAAGATTTTAAAATAAACATGGTGGGTAACAAGATTGATTTGGAAGCGAGGGTTTACAGATCACAATGCAAGTGGGATAAGCCTCATTTTACGGTCCTGGTTCCCTAAGGATTCAACCCCAATCCCAATGAAGATGAAATCCTTAAAAAAAAATGAATCATGTGCTTGATCCATGTGCTTTTTTCCTGCTTATACGTTTGTGGGTCATATCAATCTGCCGCATGGGAGGAAAAAATCGGTATTGGGTCATTTGAAGCATGTGATGTAAATGCGGCCTAAGATGTTTTATGCTCACCAAGGCTGCATTTATTTGAGCAAAAATACAGTAAACCATAATATTGTGAAATATTATTACAATTTAAAATAAATGTTTTCCATCTTAATATATTTTAAATGTAATTTATTCCTGTAACAGCAAAGCTGATTTTTTTCAGCATCATTACGCCAATAATAATAAATAATATGTATTATGCCTGTAATAAAAATGGATGTTGCTGCAATCTGGGAAGCCACTGGGGCTCTTTGCGTACATCATAAATGACTTGCCATAAACGAAACGCAATAAACGCAAGACACTTCTGAGAGGTCATAATACAAAATCATTCTGTTGACAGACTCAGGCATTTCAGAATGTAGTAGTACAGCTTTTTATTGCCATGTCCATTTCAGAATGATCCAAACGACATTTGAGATGCCAATGAAATTGGTCCGCTGGTTAGTCCAGTTATTCAATCACATTCACTGTAAGGGTAAAGTCACGTGAGGTTTTTGTTGCACATCGACGAATTTATTCAGTATTTGTTTCCATCATAGTTTATACACGTCGTCTTATCGAATAAAAAGGATTCAATTGAGCACATAGGTTTTTAGACACATTTTTTAAAAGTATGTGCATCTTGTTGTTTCCATAAGGTTTTTTTTTATGCGATATCCCAAAATGCACATAAAAATAGACGGACGGAAACATAGCTAGTGTCACATGATCCTTCAGGAATAATTTTAATAAGATTTGGTGCTCTAGAAACATTTCTTATTATCATCAATGTTTAAAACAGTTGTGCTGCTTAATATTTTTGTGGAAAATGACACATTTTTCTTTAAGATTCTTTGATGAATACAAAATAGAAATCTTTTGTAACATTATAAAGGTATTTCACTTTTGAGTAATTTAATGCATCCTTGCTGAATAGAAGTATTAATTTCTTTTAAAAATGAAAAGAAGTCAGTAGACCAAATTCATTGACAGCTTCATAGATATTACACTCCAAAGACCTGAGGGATCAAATATCAACTCTTTGCCATTTTAATAGATCAAGTCCTCAAATATATTATATCCTTTGACTTACCAGCTTAGCTACTATCATGGAGACTGAGCATTAAGTTAAAAATACATTTACACAAAATGGACACTAGATTTTTTAATTGAGCAATCAGCATCAGGTGAATTACATTTCTGTGAAGCTAAAAGGGTTGCTCTATGTGGACTAACCATAAAACTAGGCCCAACTGCATTTGTTAAATATTTGCAATCCAACTAGTATAGTATAAGTAACTAGTATAAGCTAGAATATGCAATAGAATTAGGCTTCTACTTGTAATTTATACATCCATTATGCGTAAGAATATATGTGGCCAAAAAATGCACACAATGAAATTATGAGAAAAGTATCTAGACGGAGGCAATATGCTTTGAAATTCACAAAATGCAACACCACACATCTACACAAAGGATGTCTTCACAGCATACATATAATGTTGAATACTTTAAAATAATCTTTGATCTTTTTCTAGAACATTCTCTCATCCTTTGGACTCTAGTCTATCAATGCTAAAAATAAATGTCCTCTCTCCAGCTGTGTTTTCTGCCTCTTTGTGGCAGTGTGTGTGTGTGTGTGTGTGTGTATCTGTGTGCCTATGAGGGTGTGTGCGGATGTCAAAGTATGTGTGGCTGTGGATGTCAACATAATGACATCTCTCCCATAGTCTAGCAGCCTGAAAAGTCTACAAGGTGTAAGTGTGTGTGTGTGTGTGTGTGTGTGTGTGTGTGTGTGTGTGTGTGTGTGTGTGTGTGTGTGTGTGTGTGTGTGTGTGTGTGTGTGTGTGTGTGTGTGTGTGTGTGTGAGAGAGTGAGAGTGTGGTTGGGAGGGAGGAGGAGGGTGCTCTGTAACCATGGCAACAGGAGATGAAAGCCTGATCTATTTTTAGAAATGGGGCCAGGAAAAGGTGTGCCTGCGGTTTGGGCGTAGCACAGAGCCAAAAGTAACTGGGAGTAGATAAAAAATTGATAGATGGTGCCAGGTACAGCACTTGCCCAAAGAATCCAGTGCATCTACACTAATGATGCAAATGTCACAGATGTCTAAAAATGTACAAATAACTCAACATTTCTTACCAGGACAGCAGAGAGTTAAGGTGGTCAGGTGTAGTCTGGTCAGGGCTGAGGGGAGGAGAGGTCACATAGGCTGCCGCTTTTGCCCAGTTTTTGCTCCAATAGTGTGATCCGTCAGTTGCCAAGCTGGCTGTGATTGGCTCACCAAAAACAACAGAGCCTAAAGCAAGTGCAATGAAGAGAATACGTCCAAACATTTTAGGACTGACATATTCAAATTAGTTTAAAATAGCCAGTTGTGCTAGACATCAGAATAAGTAACTTTCTAATATATATATATATAATGTTTTCAACATTGATAAAATTAAGAAATGTTTCTTGAGCAGCAAATCAGCATATTAGAATCATTTCTGAAGGATCATGTGACACTGAAGACTGGCGTAATGATGCTGAAAATGCAGTTGTGCCATCACAGGAAAAAATTACATTTTAAAATATATTAAAATAGAAGACAGTTGTTTTTAATTGTAATACATCAAATTAAATTAAATCAAATAAATGCAACCTTGGGCGAGAGCAATAAGAGGCTTCATTCAAAAATATAAAAAAAGAACTCAGCATGCAACAATATTTCACAATATGCTGTCACCTTTCTTCCGTGCATTGGCCACAGTCTCAGCTGCACTCTTACTCATCACTTTGGTGATGTAGACAGGGCAGTTCACTCGGTTGCCAAGGGTGATGGCGCGGAAAACAGCCTCCGCCTCCAGCTGTGAAACAGAGAACCAATTAAATCAGGACACTTCACTCCGCTGAAACTGACTGGATAAACGGATAGTAAGTTAAACTTCTAATTAGCTCATCAATTTGTTTATTGATCCCACCTCCTCTGGACGGCTCAGTGGGTGGCCCTCTGGACCAGTGATGCCCATTCCCAAGATTTTGCTTTGTTCCTTGAATACAAATGTTGTCAACATGAAAAAACAGTAAAGGGCACCAAATTGTGTCGGCATGTGTGCATGACGGCTCTTTCATTAGTAAACAGATACCTGTGCTATCAGGTCTCCATTCTCTGCGTGCACCAGCACCACTGCCCCCAGCTCCTTAAGGAATGAGAAGGATTCATACAACTAGAGGAGAGAAAGAGAGATCCTATTCATTATTTTACTGTATTAGACTACAGAACGTTCTATGGTTGGAGGCATAGATGGCAACATAAACTAACCTGGGAGTCAGACATTTGGAAAAACCCTTTGTAAGCCATGTACACTTGGAAAGAGTTGATTCCTGCCAGAAGAGAACATTAACATTTATATTTCCAAAGACATACACTTCTGCTCAAAAGTTTAGGGTCGGTGAGATTTTGAAAGAAGTCTCTCATGCTCACCAAGGCTGCATTTAAGCATTTATTGGAATTGTTTGCAAAGTACATTGAAACTGAGGAATCTGGTCTCGTTGGACACTTTTAAAATAGTTTTAAATGATTTGGAGAATGAAACATCGGGCTGTAGATGTTTTAGCTAGTTATGTATTTGATATTGAAATTTTATTGTTGCTTGCCTTGTGTGTGTATATGTGTATGTATTGTTGGACGTTATTTGTTACACTCAAACGTGCTGTGTCTGTCAGTTTTGGCCAGGACGCTCTTGTAAAAGAGATTCTTAATCTCAATGTGCTTCTTTCCTGGTAAAATAAAGGTTATAATTTAATTTATTTAATCAAAAATACAGTAAAACTGTTATGATGCGGCTGAAGCAGAGGCAAAAAGCAGGATCCAAGTGCAGCAGGGGGTTTTAATTAAATAATCTAGAAACTAACAAATACAGACAAGATAACCAGATTCTGGACAGCCAACATACAACACTACAACATTAAGAACTCACAAAGACTGAACAAGACACAGGGCTTAAATACATACTGGACTAACAACGAGACAAGGGACACCTGTGAACATTTAAACAATCAACCAATGACACAACAGACAGGGGAACACAAGGCAAGATCACATGACTAGAACAGGGGATCACATGACAGACAAGAACCAGGAACAAGAAACAAGAAACAAAACCCAAACCGTGACATAGCCCCCCCTCTATGGGCGGCTCCCGACGCCCAAAAAACATAAATTCAGGAGGGTGGTGAGTGGAGGCGGTCTTGGGGGAGGGACGGAGGGCCAGGCTCGCACTGGGACCAGGAACCAGGACACAGGAATGGCGAGCCTGGGCCACGGAGCATGGGTGGACCTGGCTCGTGAGCGACCAGGGCGGAGCAGGATGCGCAGGCGGCGGCCACGGTGGTGAAGACCCCTCGGGCGGCCACGGCGGAGAAGACCCCTCGGGCGGCCACGGCGGAGAAGACCTTTCGGGCGGCCACGGCGGTGAAGACCCTTCGGGCGGCCACGGCGGTGAAGACCCTTCGGGCGGCCACGGCGGTGAAGACCCTTCGGGCGGCCACGGCGGTGAAGACCCCTCGGGCGGCCACGGCGGTGAAGACCCCTCGGGCGGCCACGGCGGTGAAGACCCCTCGGGCGGCCACGGCGGTGAAGACCCCTCGGGCGGCCACGGCGGTGAAGACCCCTCGGGCGGCCACGGCGGAGAAGACCCCTCGGGCGGCCACGGCGGAGAAGACCCCTCGGGCGGCCACGGCGGAGAAGACCCCTCGGGCGGCCACGGCGGTGAAGACCCCTCGGGCGGCCACGGCGGTGAAGACCCCTCGGGCGGCCATGTGGGTGAAGACCCCTCGGGCGGCCATGGCGGTGAAGACCCCTCGGGCGGCCATGGCGGTGCGGCCTTCATAGTCCCATCCAGGGTCCTACTGCCCCCCCCCAAAATTTTCTTAGGGGCAGCCATGGGGTCATCAGCAGGAACAGACACCGGCTCAGGATCAGCGGGCTCTGGCGCAGGATCAGCGGGCTCTGGCGCAGGATCGGACGGGACCAGCACATCATGGGACTCGGAATTGGGCTCATGGGCCATCATTGATGTGTGTATAGCCCACGCACACAGAATCGCCACAGACATCACAATCAGCGCTGTATCTTGAGTGGACTCACGTGCGGTGTGCTCAGGCTCTGGCGGGCAGGCGACGGGCTCGGGCTCTGGCGGGCAGGCGACGGGCTCGGGCTCTGGCGGGCAGGCGACGGGCTCGGGCTCTGGCGGGCAGGCGACGGGCTCGGGCTCTGGCTGGACGTGGCTGACGTGAAGCTCTGGCTGGACGTGGCTGACGTGAAGCTCTGGCTGGACGTGGCTGACGTGAAGCTCTGGCTGGACGTGGCTGACGTGAAGCTCTGGCTGGACGTGGCTGACGTGAACTCTGGCTGGACGGTCTCTGGCTGGACGGTCTCTGGCTGGAGGGGCATGGGAGCGATGGTTCTCTTGGTAGGCACGAGCTGACATCAGCGGGGGGTCAGCCACGCTGGAAACAAGTCCTGGATGGCCATAGACCGATCCGATGGCTGGGTTGATGGTAGGCGCGACGTGGGGAAACTCAGGCTCTGCAAGTGCCGAACTGCCCAAGGAAAGGGCCAGATCAACAAACCCTTTCAGGGTCCAGCCAGTATGATCCTCCGGCATCACTTGAGCGATGTGCCAATCCAGCCCGCTACAAAACAGGTCCACGAGCTGAGCGTCATTTAGCGCTCCCAGATGACAACACGCCAAAAAGTCCCTCACATACCTCTCCAAGGGCTGGGCATCTTGAGACAGAGATGATAGGAATCTCCCTAAGGCCTGGTTGCTAACAACTGCTGGATCCATTGGCGGTGAGTTCTTCTGTTATGATGCGGCTGAAGCAGAGGCAAAAAGCAGGATCCAAGTGCAGCAGGGGGTTTTAATTAAATAATCTAGAAACTAACAAATACAGACAAGATAACCAGATTCTGGACAGCCAACATACAACACTACAACATTAAGAACTCACAAAGACTGAACAAGACACAGGGCTTAAATACATACTGGACTAACAACGAGACAAGGGACACCTGTGAACATTTAAACAATCAACCAATGACACAACAGACAGGGGAACACAAGGCAAGATCACATGACTAGAACAGGGGATCACATGACAGACAAGAACCAGGAACAAGAAACAAGAAACAAAACCCAAACCGTGACAAAAACAGTAATATTGTGAAATATTATAACAATTTAAAATAACAGTTTCCTATTTTAATGTTTTTGCGAGGACAAAGCTGAATTTTCAGCACCATTACTCCAGTCTTCAGTGTCACATGATCCTTCAGAAATCATTCGTATGTGCTGATTCGCTGCTCAAGAAACATTTCATATTATTTGAAAACAGTTGTACGGTTTAATATTTTTGTGCAAACCATGATTCATTTTTTTTTCAGGATTCTCTGATGAGAAGTTTAAAAAGCAGAATTTTTCTCAAATAGAATCCTTTGTAACATTATAAATGTATTTATTACTGTCACTTTTTTAATTTGATGTGTCTTTTCTAAATAAAGGTATTAATTTCTTTTTTTTTTAAATCGTACTGACCCCAAACTTTTGAACGATAGTGAATTAACAATCATTAGCATTTGGCGAATTTGGCAAAGTGCCTCTGAAACATCAGTATGATCAAGTTATAGAACTTAAAAACACAAAATACTTTCAGCTTTGCAAATGTGATACGCTTAGATATTAGATCTTTGAATACGGTTTCACCTTTGTCCTGTACCAGCTGTTCCAGCTCCTCCTTCACACCTTCATGCCAATGTGGGATATCCACATGAAGTGAATAATCACAGCAGGACTTCTTATCAGCCGCTTCCTGCCACTTCTCAAAGGCCTCCAGTAGACTGTCGCCGGGCTGTGGAGTCACATGGTCAACTGAAACAGAAGATGATGGCTTCTGCTCAAAATGTTTTTTCTATATCCTATTATTATTATAAAGGATTTGAGTGATTTTTGAAAATTCTATTGAATATTTCTAAAGATTCCTTTCTATTGAAAATGCTATTAAATTGCAGCTTTAGTCTGTGATTACTCTATTAAACTCTGTATGTTCCTCTAAGACACAAAGGTATTTTCACTCATTGTGAATCCCAACAGCTAATAGTTCTAATTCATTGTTTAAAGAAAATTAGCTATTGTAACAGCAACAAACTTTTGGCTCATACTCCTGGATGAAACAAAATCTGATTGGACGTGCAGGACAGATATTTGGGACACTGCAGTGCTTTGCTCTCGCAGGGTCCTAGTCCAGCCAATTTGTACTCATTGCTAGGGAAGTTGCTCCAAATTAGAACATTTGGAACTGCATCCTAAGTATTCAACATACTTGTTCCTTTTGCCAAATGATACAGTTTTCATTGTTTAACAATTCATCCAGACTTACTGATCATGGTGGTGCCACCTGCCAGAGCTGCTTTGGTGCCCTGATAGAAGTCATCCACAGGTGGAGAGCCCAGGTAAGGCTTATGCAGGCAGGTGTTCACATCAATACCTCCAGGGATCACCAAACACCCATTAGCCTCGATCACCTTCACACCCCCCGGCACAATCAGGTTCTCCCCAACCTGTCTGAAGGAGAGTTTGAGGGTTTGATAAAGAGCAGAGAGGGCCAGAGAGTCATGGGACCAAGTACATTGCATATTATATAGGTATATCATTTAAAATTATTACACAGCTCTTTGAAAAGCTTGATTCTGATTGATCAGTCGCGACATTCTGAGGTCAGTTATTCCACGACAATGACCGTCATTAGTAGCAATGCTGTATTGTGGCTAGTCACTTTGGCTTTCATGTCTCTCGTATCACACCATGGATGTGCTTTCTCTTGTTTCATTGGAATGCAACTGGTGCCATCTTGTGCCTCATCTATTGACTGCATTTACTATCAAATGAACCCGGAGGATTTCAGTATTAAAAGTATGCCTAAGTAGCCTGGGAAAACCCAGACAACTTCCGGCAAATTTAGATTTGCTCTGAAAGTTAGTCTGGCAAAGAGCTCATTCAAACCCATTTCCAATCCGCCGAAATGGCGGCACCAATCAGAAACGTTGGGGCGGGCTTTACACGATGACGACAGCGCTGGGATTTTGAAGCAGATTTTGTAGCCTACATTACAAAGATGGATGCCGCCGTCGAACATTACTCGTTCGAATCAGCTATCGCGTCTTAAGCGATTTGAACGTTTCCTTTTTGTTAAAAACCGAGCAAAGAACAACACTCGGAGATTCTCCGCCGCTCTGCATGTCATCTCCTTCATCGCTCTGATTGGGTTTAGGTCTATCCGCGACGTCCGTTGGTGACGCCCCTCTGGAAATGATTTGTCTATGACGCTTTGCCAGACCATAACTCAGTTACAACTGAGAATGGTCTGGTTTTAACCTGGCTAATGCCTAAGGTAATATTGTTGGAAGTGTTCGTTTTTTTTGCTAAAATTATTGTTTTGTACATTATTAGAAGATAATAAACAGGTAAGATTTTAAAATGGTTTCTTCTCAAATCAATATTTCATGTCCCCTTCATTATTAATGTGGTGAAAAGCCATGTAAGAAGTGATAGAAACTGGATAGGAACTGTTCTTCTATGCAGAAGCTTTGCATTTAATGAACTAATAAAATGTTTAATCTCAAATTAATATTTCGTTTCCAATTATTTACTTATGTGGCAAGCAGCCATGTAATAAACCCCTTCAGGGTGATACAAGAAAATAGATGTACATTATCCCTTACATGAAGGTTCTAAAAAGAGTGGCATACTTCATATGAAGCCATAGGACATGGCTGTCAAATTTAATGTTAGCTTATTAAATATGTTAATATCTAGTTCAGTCATGAAGCTCTAGATGGCAGAGGCTGAGTCCTTTACATGAAATCTGCAAGCATTCACATCATTAACACATGGCACAAGCTGATTGCTCTGCTGATCCTGCAGCCAATGAGATTGCTTGCTCAACATTTATATAGTAAGGTTGATTGTTTACTGTAAGCTAGTCCTGCAGCGCACTATCAGAGTTCCTGTGAAATCCTCCACCTCCCCAGCTCCACCTGCCTAGATCTGCCACAGGATTTATGTATGTCTATTTATGCAGCAACAGCAGTGTGTCTGTGTATCTACAGTATTAGCTAGGTATGCCCGATATATCGACCACCAAATCGGTATTGTCCGATGTTCATTTTTATTGTTATCGTTATCAGCACGATAAGAAAATTTGGCCGATATATTAAAGCAGTTAAATTATGATTTATTTCCCTCAGCTGAGACACTTCAGATTCACCATGATGGTTTTAATTTGCTTAAAATATGATTAGAATCACTTCAAAAAAGGAAAATAAATGTGCAGCACACGTCTGTCAGTCTACATAAAATGATACTGAGAACATTATAATTGTGTGCTTAACATGGCTTTTAATGGTAAGACTTTTGTTTCGGTCTATCTATGCTAAGATGCTCTAAGGCATAATTGATGACTGATTGATGAGGTTTAATTCATAATTCATATTAATGGTATACAACTGCCATTGAAAATTTGCATTATGCTTTGGAAAAACGAGTGTGCATGGTGTCTTACTTAATAAGTCCATCTTCAACATAAATGTCAGCATATAGGGACTGATCATCATTAACCACTCTTCCACCTTTAACCAGCAGCCGCTCGCTCTGAAGAAGAGAGGAAGAGAGAGAAAGAGATAGCAAGAGAGTGAGTGATTCCAACACCATGTTTAAACCTTATATGTTTACCTGCTATATTTGCAATTCAGTGAAGTGCTCTTACAACCACTGATAAAAGAGCCTTCTGCACAGTTTCAGCCTCACACTCTGTGAATGGGTGGGGTTCTACGAACAGAGAAGAGCAAATGTGGTAATGTGGAAAGATGTTAGGTTGCCAAGGTAACCTCACATCATCCAGTTGTCAGGAAGGCACAGCTTTCCATAGCTGATTTAGGCTTCATGTTCAGAGAAAACTGGTATTAATCTAACCTAAATATATGCACTGTTCCTATATGTAAACCAGGCACAGATCGCAAAGATTGCGTTAGTCAAGGATTAGGATCGCTGTAATCCATTACTCATCATCATAACTATAGACAAAAATACAGCACAGATCCCTCTTGTTCTTTGTCGTGATGTGTGCAATGGCATTTAAAAAAAGTGTCCCCTCTATTCCAGATTTCTGCTCTTGGCGACAGACCCTGTTGCGTCTCGTCCGCTGCTATTGCACTCGCCATGATTTATCCAATGAAATGCGCTCAACACTGTATTCACTATTTATTCCTGCATCTAGCCTACTGTAAACGCAATCGCAGCGTTCCTCGCTTCGTGCACGGCAGCGATGTGGACACATTGTAGCAGTAATGGTCACCTTCCCGTCGGCTGATTTCAGTGCTCTATAAGCGGCCTCTGCTTTGTTGGCTCGCTAAGAATTTAATCCCTTCTCGTTTCCCCCATGCGCAGGATTCGCCGGGTGACAGCAGGCAGGGTCGCCTCGCAGCCGGTGTCTTACCGTCAAATGCGGGATGTTCTTCTTTCCCTGGTAGCCCGTTCCAGACATCTCTCCTTTATTATTTGAGGAGATCAACAATAAGTAGTCACCCGCTTCTTTGTGCCACCAACCCACTTAACCCAGCGCTCCGCACAAGCGAGCGCCTCTCCTGAGGGGTGTGTGTGTGTGTGTGTGTGTGTGTGTGTGTGTATCTGTTCGCCTGTTCGAAGACGTGTTTTCTATTGGAGTATATGTTGGAGCGCCCCCCTCACATGAAACAAAGAGAGAGAGAGAGAGAGAGAACTGGGCATTGTGGACAAGGATCGTTAAATAATACCGGTCCAGTGTTTCAGGTCGACGGTCTACCAATAATTTTATCAAATTTGTTTTTGATGTAGGCTATAGTAGCCTAGACTACACAAAGGATTAACAGGTTAACGCATAAATTGTCAAATAGCATACATTTTGAATGTCTAAATTCTAATTAATTATTTTTTAAATAACGTTCTTAACAAACCAACGTTCCTAGAATGTTAGGGATACTACAAATTTAAGTTCAAAGAACGTTGCAGAAACATTATGCTAACCTTAAAATAATGTTTCACTAGCATTAATAAAGCCTAATAGCCTACATTATTGCGTTTTTAGAACATTTCAAATAACCTTTTCTGCAATAAATAAATGAACCAATAATAATAGACTGATATAAGGTCGCATGATAAGCTAACTTACAATAAATTAAATGTAAAACAAAAAAAAAATCAAAATACACGTGACAATAAACATCAAAATGCGACTTATCACAAAACCAAGAAACTTCTCAATACAAAAATAAAAATAAATTGTCCGATAAATTAAAATAAAACTTTTTATTTATAATATAAATGTGACAATATAACAATATCATTTATTTTCTCCATAGCCTACTTTATAAACTAATTCACATTTGTTATATTGCTCTAAAACTTCAAGTTGGCTATAGCCTAGCCCTAGGCCTATTTTAATTTTTTTTCATTCAGTAAAATTACAGTATAGGCCTATTTAAAATGTTATAGACTTTTGTTTTTTAAACATTATTATGGTAAGATAACTTAATGTTAACCAACTATAGCCTAAGGTTTTTAGCCTCGCATTTTATTTAAAATTAACATTTGCAGTGTTTTCATATGCTTAACATTAAGAGATGCTGTCAATCTTTTACGAGCAAATTTGAATCTGCCTATGGTTTATGGTTCAAAATACTCCGCAAAATGATTGGTGCATTGTCACGCATACAATTTCTGCCCACCTTCCCGTTGTTTTGCTCATCATTATGACATTCCTTTCCAGCCTGATCCGTGATTTCGGCACCCGGACGCCCGTCGTCCCTCTCGCCCCGGGAACCGAGGATAGACCCCCCGCTGATCTCATAGGCTTCAAAATCCCCATCCACGATGCGTTCCCTGCTACTGCTCCGCGAGCTCCTGTTCCCCTTCCTCCCGACGGCGTACTGGTCGAAATCGATAGTCTTGCTATCATACGCGCCCTCGACGGAGCTGAACATCCCGTGAGACTTGCGATGCTTGTTGTGTCCAGTCGAGGGTTTAGCCAGGTACACAGGGAGCTCATCCTCCCGGTTCCACTGTCGCCTACAGTCCGACATCACTCGCGGAAGGGAGATGATGCTCTGATACGTTGATGAAGCGAGACGCCAGAGCAGAAAACCAGGTCAGCCTTTAGTTTGCCGGGGGATGCGGAGCGGAGGTCGCAGCTTGCAGACTGATAATGCGAATGATGCTGCGATGCACTTTCCAGACAGACAGGCAGTGCTATAATGACACGCTTTATTATGAGCTAGTCCGGACAATATTGGATCCTCGAAACAAGTCCCCTCTGAACAAAATACGATCAAAGCTATTTCCTACTTGTTTTATTTGAGATGTTTTTCTTTTCTTTTTCTTTGTCGGGTTGAATTTGGACTGCAGTTACTGCCATCCGAAAGAGCGTGTAAGATGCGCAAAAAGACTGCAGTGTTTGAACAAAACTTTTGAAGGCAGGAATCGGTAGGCCTATACACTGACTTGGCTCCGGTTTTAACTCACTCTCTCTGGTTGAGCACGTGACTGCTTTGGAATAAAAGTTTATTATAATTGGTTGGACCGGACGAATATAGCTAATGAATCATCTCGTTCGTAGTGAATGGACCGCACCACCAGACAGACATAAGGACGTTATTCAAAGTCGTAAGCTGTATGCCTGTTATTGTCTTTTTCTAGCCTACCAAATAGACCTGGATATTGTCTTACAGTTTTCTTAATAAATAAATGTCCTATTTGGTGTAATGTTTGGGAATCGGGATGGTTGTTAAACACTTTCTGAAACCTCTTACAAAGACTTGCTTCGATCATGAACTCGAACAATGAATCAATGACTCGTCAATTGTCGCCACCTACTGGTGAAAAGGCCAATTCACACTAAGGTTATACCAACATCCCACGGCGTCATAAACTGACGTTTCTGACATTTCGTCTAATCCAAAGCACATGGCACCCTTTAGCGGCAATATAGTTATGGGTAGGTTTAGGTCTGGGGTAGGGTAGGGTTAGGGTTAGACCACTAGGAGGCGCCTTCTGGCCCATATCTGCGTCTCATATTGACGCTAAAGGGTGCCGTGTGCGTTGGATTTAGACGAAATGTCAAAAGCGTCCGTTTATGACGCCTTGGGATGAGAACGGGCTGGTGGTTATACAGGTTTAAACTTTTTTCTTTTTTTTTTACAATTGCTAGGACACATTTCTCAATACTTTTCAAAACTCTTCACAGTTCTCCTAACCCACTTTCAGCTTGACAGCAGTTATCACATTCAAAATGCACTAAAACTATAGGCTACCTAAACCCTTCATATAGCCTACATGTCTCAAATCAACGCATTCTTCCATAACACTGGCATAGGTTGTCAACTCACTTTGTCAACCATAAAACACAGACCTAAAAAGCACTAACATTATTTGATACAATGTTTTTTTGTAAAACTTCTTTACAAAACAAGAATGACACTCTCTGCTAATGTTACATGGTCAATATTGGCATTACAGGCTACAAGTTTCCTAAATGAAATTGAAAAACTTGTGTAGGTGTTAAGTTACATCTAATTGCTTTATATTATTTTAATAGTTTGATTTTTTAGATTCAGAATATATTAGTGTAGAAATGGTGCAAATTTCTGCTTTTTCATTTTGGCATATCAAAATGGTGCTTATTCATTTTTGTGTTGTGCTAGGCAGGGGGGCGCTAAGGGGGTGCAAGTTAGTACGATTCTATGGAGCCACGCACTTTTGGGGGCCCCAGAGATCGATTTTAATCGATGGAATGGGTGCGGTAGGGGGCCCAACCTCATATTCTTTCATAGGGGACAAAATTGAAACTTAAGTTTATCAGTTTTCAAAAGAGTATGAAAACATGCAAATTGGCCCATATATAATTTTTCGTGGTGTTTGTGTCTGTGACAAAATAATGAATGTAAATTGAAAGATGTCATTATTGAACACATTTTGTGCCAAAGCAATGATATATGATCCACAGTTTAGCCACATAGACTGATGTTGTGATCAGTGTGTGAACCGAAGATCGAGTTAATGAATCATCTCGTTCGTAGCGAATGGACCGAACCAGATAGACATAAGGACGTTATTCAAAGTCGTAAGCTATAGGCTATTATATGCCTGTTATTGTCTTTTTCTAGCCTACCAAATAGACCTGGATATTGTCTTACAGTTTTCTTAATAAATAAATGTCTTATTTGTTGTAATGTGTGGGAATCGGGATGGTTGTTAAACACTTTCTGAAACCTCTTACAAAGACTTGCTTCGATCATGAACTGAACAATGAATCAATGACTCGTCAATTGTCGCCACCTACTGGTGAAAAGGCCAATTCACACTAAGGCCTTTTCACCAATATGAGGCCCAACCTCATATTCTTTCATAGGGGACAAAATTGAAACTTAAGTTTATCAGTTTTCAAAAGAGTATGAAAACATGCAAATTGGCCCGTATATAATTTTTCGTGGTGTTTGTGTCTGTGACAAAATAATGAATGTAAATTGAAAGATGTCATTGTTGAACACATTTTGTGCCAAAGCAATGATATATGATCCACAGTTTAGCCACATAGACTGATTTTGTGATCAGTGTGTGAACCGAAGATCGAGTTTTGAAAAAGTGACCTATTGAGAAATGTGTCCAAGCGATTGTAAAAAATAAAAATAAATAAAATAATAATAATACCACATTACAGCGTGATATAACTGCAGAAACTGCCAAGCAGTGAACAAATCTTCTGTAAACAGACCAGATTCAAAAGATTCGAGTCACTGAGATTAATCAAAATCCCTGTTCAGTCTAGCTTTGGTGCCTATGGTGTCTCCTCTTTTCAGTTTTGTTTCTCAAACAGCATGGACTGATATCACTTCGTTGACATCTAGTGGCTGCCCATCATGTCTTACCAAGTTTACTTCACTGGACCGCTTTCATTGATTAAGAAAGTAGCCTACCGAAATAATTATTTGACTGTATTCTAATCTTACCCTATAGTCTTGTAAATCCGTCTAATTCGATCCAATGGCGGCGGCATTCAAATTAGCGGTGAAGCCTTAGGTCTCTCGCGTGTTCCGTCTTTTCTCAAGGCAAAGTATTTTGGGTTAAATGCAATACATTTTATCTTATGTATTAACTCGTTATTTCATCTGACTCCATAAATGAAAAGGTTTTTCAATTATATCTGTGCATCATTAAATCTATGTTTGACTTCCTTTTAAGTCGAGACACGGCAGGAAAAACATCGTTTTTTTTTTTTTTTCACTGGTCAATTTTGAGATTTTGGGCTATTTGTCTTCAATAACATGTCTTCTTTCAGACTTGTGGTGAAAAAATTTCCAAAATACACATTTAGGTCTTTATTTTACTACACTTTGTCTGTTTGTGTCTGTAGATTTCTCCTAAATTCAACAAAAAGTTGTCGTTCTAAATCAACATGCTGCTCTGCGATGATCGCGATCTGCACCCTGTCATCATACACCGTTGGAAAGCTCTCTCTCTCTTGCACATTGTTGTCGGATCCAAATATGGTCATTTCCTTTTTATCAAAAAAAGGATAAAGATTTATCGTGAAAGTACAATGGGCAGGCTCTGACAATGGGCATTTAACTCTAAAACCGAAATCTCATTGGCTGATGTCAATTTCTGACAACGTGATTCGTTCACGTGACATTTAGATGTGTGTTTTTGACACTTTTTCTGTTCAGTTGAAGGCCATAAATGCTGTGTTATAAGTTGTAATGTGATTTAGGTGGTTTGTATTGTTGTTGCTAATGATTTGATAAGATATTGTGTCTGTAAATAGTTGTTTCCACAAAAAAAGTATGAATTTTTACATTACAAATCTTTAAATGCTGTTTTCTCAAAATGAGTTTTTTGTCATTCTCCAGTAGAAACATCTCAGCCTGTGTAGCACCTATGTACACCAAACTTTCTGTTATACTCTTAGCAGTATTCTGAAGATATTTTCAGAGGGATTTGTTTATAAATCATTCCTGGCCTGATTTATGTGACATTTTAATAAAAAAATATGGCGAGAATTGATTTTTTAAAGGCACACTGTGGAATTTTTGGCCACTAGGGTGCGCTCGACCTGCAATTTTCACGTCTAGTGCCCCGAGAGGCCACAAGCGCCACAGCATTGTCGCAAAAGTCAACAGTCACCGGTCAACCTCCCGTGTCTTTATGTGTGTGCAGACGGCATTTGATTTGTATGTTGGAGAAAGTTAATCAATTCACTACTGACCAAAATAATAATATAAATATAAGATTAATACTATAAATCCTATAAAGAAAACAAATTGAATAAAAGTAGCATACGCAGAAAACAATGTCTGATCAGGTAAGTCGCATTGACAAGGGTTGCCCAATCCTGCTCCTGCCGATCGTCTGTCCTGCACAGTTCATCTCCAACCCTAATCAAACACACCTGAAGCAAACAATTAACGTCTTCAGGATCTCTTTGCAATTGGTTGGAGATGAAATCGAGTAGTCGGGAAATCGTGTAACAAAACTGATATAACTCACTACATATTTCCGTTATTTGTAGTCTTCAGTTTGTTTTTCCTTTTACACAAATACAAACATATATGAGCTGAAAGGAAAAAAAACATTTACATTTACATTTGTATACGGCAGTATGTTGTGACTTATATCAGTTTTGTTACACAAATTCGCAGTAAATATTACATTATATATACACTTTTATGCCGATGTTTATTTTAAACTCTCCCTTTTTCTTTTTTTTGTCTCCTCTGACAAAATCTTTGCTTTCTTTGCTTTCTTCCGAGTAGCTGTTGATTCAGCCATGACGACAACATACAGACGCCGGCAATCAAACGCGAGTTGAGCTCTCACGTTAGAAGTTGAGGAAGTTGGGGTGGTGGGGGAAGTGACGTATGCCGTAAAGCGGTCGAATTTTGTAGTTCTTTTTGTGCTCGGGTTCCTACCCGAAACCCGAAGTTACATAGTGCTAGTAAAAGCGATACAGACACCTTCAGGCTTCGGCAGACGTGTCATTCAACCTATTGTAAGTCGATGTACCATCTCAATGGGTTTTGGTAATATATTATAAAGGTTGAAAAGTTCCACAGTGTGCCTTTAAGGCTATGGACAGTATATTTTGATTTCCTAGGTAATGAAAGCATATATCCTGAAATCTCTCTGAAATTATTTTTTCATCTTGTGTGTAAACAAAATGAAAAAATAATTTTGCACCTGGCTCTATCATATGTTCAGATCTATCTACCGAAAATATATGCAAAATTATGCATATTTAATGAGATAATGCCTAATTTGCATAATTAAACATACAAATTTCAAAAACTTGTAATACATTTTTTTTATATACTTGTGTAAATAATCAACTGAGAAAGTTTCATGGTGATATCTATTATTTAAAAATTGTACCCTATTCACCTGTAGTGTCTCGCCTTAACTCTATGAAAATAAAGTCAAAGTCTGTTAGAATAATCAAATATAACAATTTATTATGTCAGGTAAATGTATTATTACAATTTCATAATCAATTGAAAGATAATCAATCATCAAATGTTCTAGAACAAAGAGGAAAATCTTTTACCCGACATTATGAAATAGCCTACATGAATGCAGAGTCTCGGCGACTCAGCATTCACGGGCTGATCTGAGATACAGAAAAGGCCCTGATCCTTCCGCTACATTTCATTATATAGCCAGACCTCATTTCATATGTAAACATGAGTTCACAGTGGAAATTTACTGTGATCACCCACAGTAAATTGTGATTTACTGTGATTACTGTATTATTTCAAATAATACTAAGCACATGTATAGAACTGTATGATAGTTGTTAAAACCATATAGATCCTTATGTGAGTTTAGGTGATCTCTGCAGGGGGATGCGGGGAAGAAGTGTTTGTGTGAGATGTTCAAATGTTAATTTGCAGCAAGGTCCTTCCTCTCATAGACCAGTGGTGAGGTCTTACAGTCTTTCTCCACAGCAAGAAAGACCGATGTGTTTTGTCATCCGAATCCAAATGAGACCAATTTAATCCTTTGGGCAATGCAATGCGCTGCTCGATTTGCATCCAATCAGAGAGCAGAACTTTTTGATTGGCACTTGAATTATCCAATTGAAGCTTCGCTCTCTTGAGGTATGATGGATCTCAACAACTGTGATTCCTTAGTGGGGCTCTGGTGGTTTCACAGAGTGGTTATGTGTGTACAGGAACGGACACTTTAAAAAATTATTTATTTTTTACTGTGCTATGCCATACAATGTTTGTCTGAAGATCATCCGTTCAAGCAGCTTAAATGAGTAAGTTGTTTTAATTCTACTTTCTTTTATTTTGAGTTATAAAACTACTTTTAATTTTAGCCCAGTAATTATCAGGTTTATCAAAACGAATTGAATTATATATGTATATATATATATTTATGTAATATGTATAACTCTAGAGAGAGAGAGAGAGAGAGAGAGAGAGAGAGAGAGAGAGAGAGATTAAATATACAGTTTAAGTTGTGCATACACACATTTGTTTTGTAGAAATGAGTGTAAGTGAGTAAAACCCGGTGTTCTCTGTAAACGGTACATTTATTCACAGTATGTTTGTTGTTCTTTAGGTGAGATGGACATTAATGCCTGTCCACCACCATCTCCTGAGACTCTCGTGGAGAATAGTGCAACCCACAAACGTCTCAACCCTCCATCCACCAAATCCATTCCTGGCACTGAGACGGCTGGCCCCCCGTTCTCCATATCTGGGAGCCCAGACCGACACTCTGAATCCCCTTCTTTAACTCAAGATACTACATTAAAACACCCTAATGTTAAAACCTGTAACGTTCCAGCCAAACCAACACCTGAGAAACCAACAACAGTAAAACCAACCCCTGCATCATCATCCCATATCTCTAAAACTACTCCAACAATGCCAGCTTCATCATCATCATCATCATCATCATCAAAATCAACACCATTAATATTATCTTCTCCTAATGACCCATCTACACCCAGCATGACCATTTCTGCTGATCCTACTCCTCCTGAGGGTTCATCGTCCACCAGCAAAACACCTGCAGCGGGCTCCGGTAAAATCCCCCGTCAACGGAGCTTTTTGGCTGCAGCCCAAAAGGTGATTATGCAGGAGAAATTAAGAAAGGATGAGGAGCAGGACAAAGCTGAGGAATTTGGTAAGTGAAGCTTTGCATTATAACTAATACCTTTAAAAAGCCAAAAGACAATGTGATGACTTGCTTATTTCTTTGTATGATACATTTTCAGTGTATGATTTCCAGATTTCTTTGTTGCATTTGACTTTTTGAAACTATTTCTTCTTAACATGTTGAAACTCAAAAAGACTTATCTTGCATGATATTTTTAATGGTGCCACTTTAATTGTCGTTTCTTGATATACATTCAGTATGCATTACACTAAAGGAATGCATCTGACCTAGGGTCACCAGTGGGTCATGCTTGTGTGTGTGTGCTAACTTTATCTTCACCAAGAACATAAATCCTATTTTTATCACGAACCAATGTTCTTCTGAGGAGACTAAAATCAGAGGAATATACATTTATTTACTCAAAGTCTGGTTTTGCTTTTCTGGTTTGTTTTTTGCCAGTAATGTCAAAAAGTAATGGATATGTCAACATTGAAGCACGATGAGTTATGTAACTTGCGATTTTAATTCACATGCAATTAATATCTTTGGGATTATACTGGGGCAATAAATTAAATAGTGACAAAGAATCAAGTAATACAATTGGCAGGAAACTATTGATAAACTATATGTACAGTAAAATGTCGTTATCTTTTCAGAAATACTTAAGTCCTTGTTTCCACTCATTCCATTTGGATTGCTCGGTAACTTTAATCAACGTTAAAGCATGATCAGACTATTACGGTAGGACCACATTATTCTACATGGATCTGTAGCACAGATGAGCATAGTTCATTGATTTAGAGCGAAATAGGAGGATTGTTGATTCATTAAGACTTAAATCAGTTTAAAATTGATGTTAACCTAATTTTAAGTCACTCTCATCTCTCCCAGATGATATGGATGAAGAGCTAACTTTTGAGGAGCTCTTGGAGAAAGCTGAAGCTGGAGACCCTCGAGCACAGAGTAGAGTGAGTACTTGAAAACTCATACGTAATAATTGAAATGATATTAAAATAGTCATGAAATATCATGACTATGTGAAATTGAATTTATTATAACTTCTAAAATGTAAAAGCGGACTGAATCCTGTTCGGCAACTGGATTTCTTTCTTTGAAGAGCTCGAAATTGGGTTAAGCACAAACACAACTATCATACTAATAAAGTGACTGTGATCAGTGATTCAGTGAACATTGTGTCATGGTTTTGGAACTGATTGTGATGGTATTGTTGGCTTTGTGCGAAGCTGTTCTTCACTGGCCTATACAATGCGATGTGTTTGTAATATTATAACTATACGACTTTAAACAATCTACAGTGTATTTTGAGGTACAGATTAAATTCTGTAGTGATTTTGTCTCCCCCCGTAGTTGACAGCATGTCCTTTCTGGCGTTGTCATTAGTGTGTCTATTTTCAGCTTTCTGGAAGATGAGCCCAGTCTCAATATAACTCAAATGCTCCTGCATGCATGTAGGCTACACATTCTCACACAGTCAGAGCAAATGTGTCTGCAAATACAGACTCTGCTGACATACATACTGTATACATTGACAGATGAGCCCTGACTTTTCTTTGAGTAGCCTACTCTACTTCCCCTTTCCTCTAAAATGAATTCCACACATATACATTTTCTCATTCATATTTGATTCAGATTAGTATCAAGATATCAGGGCATAGAGCATTATAGGAGATGGAGATAAGTCTAATAGATGGGCCAAACATTTGACAGCATAGTTCAGTTTCTGTTAATGATTTTGCACTAATCTGTCATGGTGTTGGTAAAGGCACACTGTAAAGCTCTTACTATGGTTTAATCATACCGTGGTTTAGCATTTAGGCTAAGATTAGATATGGTTATGTGATACTCTGTCTAGCTTTGAGCCTCTGGGAAATTAGCCCACTTATATTATTGTTCATCAAAAAATGGTACAGGGACTGATGGGTAATGCAGTCAGTTCTGCATAATGTTGTAATCTAAGCAAACTGCACTCCAAACAAAAGATATTATAATGCTCAAAAGCTCTTGAGGTGTTTCTAGAGGTAAGCAGTGACATTTCACTCTCACAAAAAGGATTGAATTAATAAAAAATGAAATTTTATATTGCGTTTATAATGTGTATTATTTAATGTGTTTGCTGTAGCTTGGTAAACACTACCTTAAACTGGCAGAAGAAAAAGACACAGAGACAAATAACCATAAAGCTGTTGAATGGTTGGTGAAGGCAACAAAACAAGGTCGGAGAGATTCTGCCAAACTCCTTCAGAAATGCTGGATCAAAAATAAAGGTGAGGGGAAGGACCTCTGAGAACTTCCTTTCAATTGCTTCAATTATATCAATGCAATCTGAAGATTTGTTGAAACGTTCAGCGATACATTTTTTTATAATAATCACATATGGATTCTTTTTAAATGTTCTACTGGCAGGCATCACACCAGAGAACACACAAGAGGTGAGAAAGCTGTCCTCAGAGAGTAAGTTTGAACAGGCAGTAAGGAGAGCAGCCATGACCATGTATTGGAAACTCAATCCTGACAGAAAGAAGAAAGTAGCCATGTCTGAGATGCTGGAGAATGTCAGCCAGGTCAATACTGTACCAGGTAATTCATTTCTTTCTTTTATTAATTTTATGCAACAGCAGTATTTTTCATTCTCGTTTACCTTAAAAACTGAAACAAGTGGCATTTTGACCAAATGTCGATTTCTAGGAGGCTTATATTTTTATATAAACATAAACGGTAACACTTCCATTAGTTAGTTATTTTAATAATAGTAAATGTTGAAGTTAACATTAACCAAGTATTTTTTTATTGTTAGTTCGTGTTAAAGGTATAGTTCACCCAAAAATCAAAACCGATTTAATTTAGGCTTTTATAATATTGATCAGCGAACATAAACAGAAGCTCAACCGAACCTGCTTGACGAGCAAGAACAAACCTCATTGGTTCTTGAGGAAGCTCAAACGTGCTGCGTAACACGAGAATGAACCTCATTGGTTCTCGCACGTCAGGCGAGCATGCTTGAGCTTCTGTTTACCACAACTGATGTGTGAGTTGATGAATGTTTGTGAATAAAAGCCTAAATTCAATCTGTTCATCATTTTAAGCGATAGTGTCTCTTCAGAAAATTTTGGTCTAAACCGCTCAATTCATATGGGTTAGTTTTACGATCTCTTTATGAACTTTTTGAAGCGTCAAAGTTTCAGTTGCGTAGCTGTCAATGGAGAGACAGAAAGCTCTCAGATTTCATCAAAAATATCTTCATTTGTGTTCTGAAGACAAATGAAAGTCTTACGAATTTGGAATGACATGAGGGTGAGTAATTAATGACAGAATTGTCATTTTTGGGTGAACTATCCCTTTAACTAATGTTAACAACTGAAACCTTATTATGTTACTGAAATAAATGTAACATGTCTACTTGTAGTAACTCTCAATGACTTCTATGTTACAGGTGAAGCATCTGTATGTGGTGTAACACCCAGCATTTTTTCTCAGAGGAAAATTCTTGAGACAATGGTGTCTAATGAATGTAAGTGTACATACTGTATATGTGTATATGCAAATACAATACATTGGATATTGTTCTGAAGGATGGTGAAAACAGAAAAAAGGTATATTTTTGTTTAACCTGAGGTCTAATTTTTCTGCTTAAAATTTTAGACAGATCAACTTTGCATTTTCTTCCTTCTACAGCTGGCTCTAAGTATGTGGATGCGGAAGATTTTGTGGAGATGACAAAAAAGTTCACAGAAGGCATTGCGTGCACTCCCACACAGAGCACCTCAAGCGTAGATGCAAAGGGAGAGGAGACTTTAAGGAAAAGTAATGCAGCCTCATTTGATACGGTGAGTTTTTTTTCTTTTCTTCAAAGTTGTAAATTAAACAAAAATTATTGGAGATTGTTTTACAACAGTGGTTCCCAACTCTGCGTACCCTTAATACTGCACATTTGATGTCTCTCTTACACACATCTAACACACATATTTGAGATCTTGGGCTGCATCCGAAATCACATGCTTTCTTGAGTAGGTACTTATTTAGAAAAAGTCCTTACTTTGTGAGAGCTAAAAAAAAGTATGTTCTATATATTATGAATCTGTGTAGTATGAATGTAACCCGGACGTATACTACATTCGCCATGTTGGCACTGTCATGTGACCTGCTACCACCAGCTTCAGTTGTGTCGCTTCACTGCCATTCACAAATCCTCTCCCGTGGCATCATGGGATAGTAAAGTGTCCATCGTATGCACACTTCAGAATCTCGCCAGAAGAAGTATGGTCATACCGGTACTTTTTGCCCACTCTCTTATGAGTACTGTGAATTCAGACATACTTTTGTCGCACAACTAAATAGTAGGGAAGTTACTAATGAGCCAATGAGTTGAATCAGGTGTTTGATTAGGGAGACATCTAAAATGTGCACTGCAGACAGTACTCCAGGACCGGGATTGAATTTTTTTATCATACATCTAATGTTTAATTATGTGTTACTTTGCTGTTTCTTTGTATTGTATTTATATACTTGCAAATTCCTTCACCAAATCTTTTTCAATGTATGGAAGAAGATAAGTATAAGTGCAGACTAATTCTAGGCTTTTCATATAACAGCAATTTTTTAAAGCATTGATTAAAATAGGTGTCTTATAAATAAATAAATAAGCTATAACCATTTATATGTCCTCGAGAAAGGCATTTAAAAGATATCATTTCTTCACCTTGATGTTGTTCCAAACCGGTATGACTTTCTGTCTTCTGTGGAAAACAGTTTTTGACCATATAATGAAACTCAATGGGGTTCAAAACGACACTGGATCCCATTGATTTGTATGGATGAAAAACAGATATTTTTTTCGAAATATATATTCTTTTGAGTTTTTCCATGAGCGTGAGTAAATGATGACAGAATTTTTAATTTTGTGTGAGCTTAAAGTTCCACCAACAGGAGTTTAATGCACATTGCTAAAATCAGCTGCTAAATGACAGCTTGCTACTTGTTTATACATCAAAATAAAATCTTTGCAATGGTTCCAAAAGAGCTTGAAGAGTAAAAAAGTGCTACTATTTTCATGCAGAAAAAAACTGAATTGGCCTCCGTTGCTCATAAGCGTCATCGAAAGTCAAGTTGGGGAATGACGAGCAGTGGGATGATGCTGGCTTCCAGACGCACCGGTGCAATGAAGAGAGCCCTGGACATAAAAGCCCACTTCTTGGTGAAAAACAAATAAACACAATTTATATACAAATGTTTGCTTGACAGCCACCATTGATGTAGCTATTTATCAAACTTCAGTTTGACACAAATACAATTTTACTCTTGTATTGTCCTTCCTTTCCCTGCAGGGTCTGCAGTACCCCCTCCATGCCATTATTGAGATGAAGGAACATTTTATTGACTGGGCATCTCGTGCTGGCGTCCAGTGGCTGAGCACCATCATCCCAACACAACACGTCAATGCTCTCATCTTCTTCTTCATCATCTCCAATCTCACCATTGATCTGTTTGCCTTCATCATCCCGCTCCTCATCTTCTACCTCTCCTTTATCTCCATGGCCATCTGCACACTGAGAGTCTTCCAGAGCAGCAAAGGCTGGGAGAACTTCCGTGCCTTCACCGCCCTCCTCACACGCTTCGAGCCTAGCTTAGACGTGGAGCAAGCGGAGACCAACTTTGGCTGGAACAACCTGGAGCAGTACCTCTACTTCATGATATCCGTGTTCTTTTTGATCTTCACTTTTCCAGTTGCAGATAAAGGCTGGATCCCATGTTCAGAGCTTTCCACAGTAGCCATCTTCTTCACAGTACTGAGCTACAGGAGCCTGGGCCCGTCTACAGCAGCGTACGCTCGAAGGGCGCTCATCATCGAGGTGGCTTCATCTTTGTGTGCCTTGACCAACAGGTTGCCTAAGGAAATGGTGATGGCCAGGATGCTGGGACATATTTTCACAACCATCCCTCTAGGAGAATCAGTGGTGGTGGAGCTCAGTGTACCCTGTGTGCTCTACATCTATCTTTTCTACTTGTTCTTCAGGTGAGGGGACTGGTTTCACATAAACCTAGTTAAGGCAATGTATATACTGTACATTCCATTGGATTGGACCGGGGTTATTATCATTAACTACATCTAAAACCAAACAAAATTATTATAAACATTTTTTAATTAAAAATAAATGGTGGGAAAAAATTTATATATATAAATATTGGATGAAAAACTTAAACTAAACAGAAAATTTGAAATGTTGCTTTGGCAACTGGATTTGAAATGTTTACTAACTGGAAATAAACTGAAATAAAAATAAATTATAACGTAATAGTAATAAAGTATTAAAAACAAAAGCACATAGCAAAATGCCTAAACAACAAACAAAAATTTAAATGAACATTGAAAATAAAATATAAAAATGTTATACTAATTGAAAATATGAATAAACACTATAATAGTAGATAAATAATAATAAAGAACACTGGATTGGATGCAGGGGAACCATTTGCACTGTCTATAACAAAGAAAGTTATTTAGACATTTACTTTTTTTATCAATTTAAATGTATAGATTTATACTTAAAATTTGTAATGTCTAATTATTCAATATTTATATGAAAAATCAAACATGCATTTATTTTTCATCGAATGTTACTGTTTTAAAAGAAAACAAAAAAAAATATCTATGAATATGCATTTTTTTCAGCAAATATTACGTTTTCTGTACAAAGAAAGAAATTACAATAATTACTGGAATTACTATAATTATACAAGAAATTAATAGAAAGTTTTGCCGGAAAAGGAAGGAAACAAAATGTATGTACATTATTTAAAAAAAATGTAGTATAGCACTGACCCAAACATGATTTTAATATTATATATTATTATATTGGTGCTTGAATATGATGACCATACCTAACTGTATCTCTTTTTTTGGCCTTTATAGTATGGCACGCATGAGGGGATTCAGAGGGACGTACTGCTTCCTGGTGCCGTATCTAGTCTGCTTCGTGTGGTGCGAGTTCTCTGTGGTTCTGCTGCGGAATTCCACCATCATCGGCCTTATCCGCACCTGTGTTGCCTACTTCCTCTTCCTGTTCGCATTACCTGTCTTGGCTATGGGTCTGATGGCGATGCTGCTGATTCAGGTGGTCAAGTGGTTCCTGGAGCTGGAGTTGACTAAAATGCTGGTGACGCTGGCAGTGTGCGCCGTCCCAGTGATGCTGCGGCTTTGGACTCGATTCAGCCTCTCCATTCTAAACGTCTTCCGTTCCATCACCGACAGAGGCCCTGTGAAACTGATCCTCCTGTGCATCACCACTGTGATTTTTCTCTGCGGCGTCTATGTCTATAACGCTGAAGGTCTGAAGGTTTATAACTCCACACTCACCTGGCAGAAATATGGTACACTGTGTGGCCCACATGCCTGGCAGGATCATGGGATGGCTCAAACACAGCTCCTCTGCAGCCATCTGGAAGGCCATCGGGTCACATGGACAGGAGTGTTCCGTCGTGTTCGCGTAGCTGAGAAGGAAAACGGAGCACAGTCTGTTATAAACATTCTCCCGGTGTTCATGGGCGACTGGTTGCAGTGTCTCTACGGTGAGGTGTATCCTAAGTGTGAACCACAGAATAATACGTCTCCGGTTGTGAATGTCACGGACGTCGTCCCAGAGCCTGTCAACACCACAATGCTGTTCCTCCAGCAGGAAGAGGACGAGCTCTGTCGAATAAAGGCCTTTGCTAAACACAAATGCCACGTTAAACGCTTCGACAGTTACCGCTTTGAGGTGACGGTCGGCATGCCGGTGGATGGGGTCACAAAACTCGACGATCCGGCAGCTGACATTCTCCTAATGGCAAGCCACGAGTTTAGACAGGTGTTGCTGAACCTCGACCCAGGCAGCATGGTAGAGTTCAGCACAAAGCTGGAAGGGAAGTTGGGTAATAAACTACCTGTATTTGAACTGAAAGCCATACACTGTCTGGACTGCAGCTCCTCATTGGTGCCTGAGGGACGACAGGTCAAGATTGAGCGAAACTGGAGGAAAACCATGCTAAAAGCCATTAAATTTGCATTTGACTTTTTCTTTGCTCCGATTCTTTGTGCTAGGATCAATGTGTAAAAGAACAAGTGGAAGGAAAGATGAGAGATATGTAAATCTGAATCGCAGTCAAAGTGTTTGGTGATTTTTCCTATTCAAAGTGGGTTGAATTGGACGATTAGAACTCCAAACAGTTTGCACATTTTATTGGTAACATTTTTTTTTTTAAATATATAAATTATACATTCTTATATTGAATTAGAGATCTTGTATTATTGTTGTGGCATTGAGAAAATGCTTTTTTTTATATTAGGCCGATACCCCTTTTCTGTTGCTGTTATAAAATTGTGCATGCTTTGATATTCAATCGGTTAACACCTCAACTTTCATTAATAAGTCACAAACATTTTATGATGCATCCATAATATCCATGTAAAATACACTAAAATATGAATATTATTAAGTTTCATGACAGTTCTATTTTTAAGTACATTATAAAATGCTTTGCATATCAGTAGTTATAGCAAACGTTCACGCAAAATTAAAATTCTGTCATTTACAAATGTTACAAATTAATGTTTAATCCAATGAGTTTAAAGGTTTTCATTCCATTATTTTATTCACCATTTTTTTTAGTAAGCTTTGCTCAAATTAAAATCCAACATGTGCAAGATGCTGAAAAACTGAGAAGTTTATATAGAAAAACAATTAGAAATCAGTGCAGCAGAAAAACAAGCCTGTGTGAAGGGCGTTGTTTGATATTTCAAGGCATTTAGCTTTTTTTAATACCTTAAACCACCAGATTTAATCTAAGAACCACCATTTCTGACCTTTAATTTTTTTTTCAAAGCTTCAGAAATTCAGTCTGACCTTTTTGCAACCCAAATGATTAAAGCATATTTATGATTACGATCCATGTGCAATGGATCTTTATTCACATTTTTTTTATGTTTTTGTTTCAAATTTATTTTTGTCATGAATAAGAATGCATGGAATACGTATTTAGAATATTTATCAAATGAAAACAAAGTGTGTTTCTGTAAACATGAGCCTTTTAAATGTTTTTTAAAACAAATTGTCTACATTATTCATAAAAATCTACATACACTCACACAGCATGTTCAAACTTCTTTGTTGTTACTTTGTTGAATGGAAAAGCCATCTTCACAGAGATTTTTTCCTTAAAGGTCCTATGACAAGTAGATGTAAAACCTGTTTACAGTATCTCTGGGATTATGCTTTTATTTTTGTGAAAATGTAAAAATGAATAAAAGAATATCAATATCACTATAAGCATGTCATGTTTTTCTATCCCGGTGGCGACTTCAACCTGAATGCACACAGGTCCCCATGGGTACACAAGCTTATAAATCATACAGAATGAAATGTAAAAATGCAGAAAGTTTTCTGTGATGGGTAGGTTTAGGGGTCGGGTTAGTGTAAGGAGATAGAATATACAGTTTGTACAGTATAAAAACCATTAAGTCTATGGAGAGTCCCCACAAAGATAGTGAACCAGACCAGCGCAGTCTCATCCCAAGACGTCATATAACTGACGTCTTGGGACGTCTTTTGACCATACGTCAATATCCGCCTTTTTAGGGTACCCTTAAACGTCGGTTAGATGACGTTATCGGATCCTAACTCTACCCCAGACCTAAACCTACCCCTAAACCTACCCCGTCACCTAACTGACGTTAAAGGTAAAGCGTCAGTTGTATGACGTCCCAGGATCGTCATAAACCGACGTTTAAGGGTACCCTAAAAAGGCGGATATTGACGTATGGTCAAAAGACGTCCCAAGACGTCAGTTATATGACTTCTTGGGATGAGACTGTGTTAACCAGACGTGTGTGTGTGTGTTAAATACACAGAAGCAGACAAGAGAGACAAAAACAGTGTAATCTAAGTGGGTATACTGAGATCATATTAATTTAATCACATTCTTCCATTTGCCTCTTTTATTTTTCCATTAAGTGTAAATAGAATATGTTTAGGCATCATAGATATACACATTAGTAACACTGGATAATGATAAACATGCGTTTTTGTGTATGCTTGCATGTATAGGCCTATTTCTGTAAGTGTCTGTGTGTGTGAGAGAGAGAGCGTGTGTGTGTGTGCCCTGAAAAACTCAAGCCATTATTCCCTGGTTGCATTGTGAATGTGAGTGTGTGTTTCACTGCATGTCTGAGGAAAGCATGAGAGAATTCATAATGGCGGAAGGCCTATCGCCATAGTAACAGGATGTAAGAGAATGAAAGAGTGAGAGAGAGAGAGGAACAGAGTGAAAAAGCAGAGAAGCATTGTCTCAGGGTACAAAAATGATGTGAATGAACTACAAATGTAAAAAAAAAAAGAGTAAAGAGACTGATTGTAAGAGGCACAGCCTCTTGACACATAGAGCAAAGAGTACTAGAAAAATGGGACAAGGAAACGCGTGAACACCGGAAAAGACAGAAAAGGGGTGAAGTTAAGGAAAATGAGAAAGCAAGCAAGCAAGCTCGCTCGTCCGTTTGAGAGCACCCCGTTAACATTGTAACACTTTAAAAAGGGATTCATTAAAAGCACGTGTTTGACAGTTACATTCATTCAGCCTTTTTCATATAGCAAAAACAATCACTGACCTCCGTGTCATAGTCTACAAAGACAACCCCAACAATTCATTACCACATCTACACCAAACAAACCTTAAATGGCACCTTAAATGAAAGAGAACTCGTGTTCTTCCTACAGTGGATAGAGACTTACATCTACACCTGTGTGGTCACTGAAAACAGTGCTGAGATTAAAATTTATAAATGGTTTACTAGCTGGTATACATATTGGAATGGTCCAGATTCAAAAAAAGTTAAGCTATTTGGCATGTTGTTAATGACCAAAAAAAAAAAGAAAAGAATTTTGACGCATCCTCAACTATTTTGATGCACTGACAATGGAAGTCTAGGGAATGTGAAGGCATTGAAATTTGAAAATTGAAATTCAAAGTTTTGAAAGTATAGCCATAAAACAGCTCTCTAAAAAGTATTGCATTACTTATTACTGATTACTTTCTAAATCCCATATCATCCTCAACCAGTTGAACAATACAAGGATAGACAGGAAACTGCACTATTAATTGTATCAAGTAAATAATACACAATTGCATAAATTCTTCTTGAACTGACCAAAGTGTGTAAAAGGAGGTTACATTAAAAACATATATATTAACATTAGATGTTGAATTTTGATGTGAAATCCACTATTGTTTTATATAGAATTGAATCTAGAATCTATACAGTATGTAATGCAATTACATCTGAAGTAACTGTAATTAAATTACAGAAAAATTAAGAGTAATCAGTTATTAGATTGCTTAGTAATTAATTACACCCAACACTGTACGTTGGTAGCGCATAACCAAAAGTTCATTCTTAAAAATAAAGGTTTCATAAGGTTTTCACAGCAATGCCATTGAAGATTTGGGTTCCCCAAAGAAAATTTCTGTGAACAGTTCTTAAAAGATTTTTTTTTTTTCTCTAAATGTGAAAAACATTTTAATAAAGAACCATTTTCCACAAGTGTAGGTATACCTGTAGGTCAGAGTCTTTACAATTGGTTGTCCATTACGACCTGCAGCTATACCTTTCTCTTTTCCTATTATAAAGAACCTTTTGTGCAATGTAAAGGTTCCATGAATGTTAAAGGTTCCTCATGGAACCATCAATGCAAACAAAGAACCTTTATTTTTAAGAGTGTTCATTCATTTAGAAGAGTGTCCCACATCTAAAAGGAGGATTTAGACTTTATAGCTGAAATAAGCACACTTTGTTGTACACAAGAATTAATGTAAGCTAGTGGTTCTCAACCAGGAGGCCTCATGATGACTATTAATAAAAATCTAAATAATTCTTATTTTAATTAAATTCTTTTTTATATTTTAGTTTTTTTCTTTAAAGAGCCAGTATTATCACAATCTTGGGAAATCTGGATATATGAGGACAACTAATTTTAAAAGTGTGACATCTTGACCTGAAAAAGTCATGTAAATGTAAAAAATCTTAAAATTCATTATAATGCACATACAGACTCAAATATCTTTTTCGGGTATATATTGTAAGTAACAATATTTTTTTAAATTCTTATCCTGTTAATTTACTGGAAAAATTCATGGGTTCTTCGAATATTGTGGACAATGAGTTAACTTGCAGTCACAAAGGTTGAGAACCACCTATATAAGCACTTTAACAATATAGATTTAACTGCAGACTTCCATTGCAAGTACATTACTTTAGTTTTTATTAAACAAACTGAGGAATATCAGAATTATTGTTTGTTGTAAAGCTTTAGTTTACATTTTGATGCCGGAATATTCCATTAAATTAACCAACTGATTTCCCATGCAGTCAGTACTGTTCAAAAGTTTTTCAGATCGGTAAGATTCCTTTAATGTTTTTAAAAGAAGTCTCTTCTGCTCACCAAGGCTACATTTATTTGATAAAAAATACAGCAAAAGCAGTAATATTGTGAAATATGTTTAGAATTTAAAATAATGGTTTTCTATTTAAATATATTTAAAAATGCAATTTATTCCTGTGATGGCGAAGCTGAATTTTTAGAATTATTATAGAATATAAAGTTCAAAAGAACAGCATTTATCTGAAATGGAAAGCTTTTGTAACATTACCGTTCAAAGGTTTGGGGTCAGAGAGATTTTTGTTGATGTTGAAAGAAGTTAAATAAATGAATACAAGGATGCATTAAACTGATCAAATGTGACAATTAAGACATTTAAAAGCTTTGAACTTCCTATTCATCAAAGAATCCAGATTTCTTTTTTTTTACACAACCGTTTTCAGCATTGATAATAATAAGAAATGCTTCTTGAGCAGCAAATCAGCATATTAGAATGATTTCTGAAGGATTGTGTGACACTGAAGACTGGAGTAATAATGCTGAAAATTCAGCTTTGAATTGCATTTAAAATTGCATTTTAAAATATATTCAAATAGAAAACAGTTTTTTAAATTGTAAAAATATTTCACAATAATACTGTTATAGCAGTATTTTGTATCAAATAAGAGACTTCTTTTCAAAACATTACAAAAATCTCACCGACCTGAAACACGTTTGATTGGTAGTATATGTCTGCATTGTTTTATGGCCTGTGGCACTAAATTTGTCATTTATTTTTCCTACATGATAGTTTAATTTCCTTTTTGAGGGATCCATAGCTACAATCATAAATAAAAAGGCAGTGCTTTACTGTGAGAGACCAGAGCTGACTAGATCGGAGTTAACTGACCCTAACACATGTCAGTTACCATGCACAGCGCTGCAGGAGGCCTTTTTGAAAGCGTGCAAACAGTGTTATGAGATTGACCAATACCTTTCACTTTCTTGCCATACAGGTGTAAATGTAACCCATCATGAGGTGTAAACCGGTTAAAGACAGTGAAGTAATGGAGCAATCCTTTTGTTCGGGTACATTTGAGACAAGTATTAGAATTCAAATCTCCTCCAGGTGTGAGATATAGTGATTCGGTCATAGGCATCCATGTTTCCACAAATGGTCAATTCGATTGCGAAGTAAAATGAGGGCTCTTAAAGCAGATGCATTGTGGGATAGGTTTTTTTTTGGGAAGCACGTGATAGGAAGACTGCTCAGAGCACTCTTGTTACCATGACAACTGGTGTCCATGGCAACCTGGCACAGAGGAGTGGAGCAGTCTCATTCCTAGTCTTCAGCTCAAAGGCACAACCCCTTATCCAAAATCAGCCGTCAATCACAGATCAGCGAAGTCCGGGATTGGCCATCAACAAGATCCATCACATATCAAAGGAGTTCGGGATTGGCTGACCATAATGTCAATCGTGAAATTCCACGTACCGCGGCTCATTGGCAACATTCCTGGCGGTGTAATTAACCAAATAGTTATCAGATAAAGTCATCGGCTTAGCTGCAAAGTCCATCTGTGTAATTTCAGAGTCTGGCAACTACGTCCACCTCCACAGGACCAATGATGTGTGTGTTTTAAAGGATAAATTTGATACGTGTGCATGGTTTAAATGTGTGTGGCCCTGTGAAGAGCATTACTGCAACCCCTCTACACATCTCTTGTCACTGGTTTTCTGCGTTGACCCTGTCTTGAAAGATATAGAGGTTGTTAGTGGCAGCTATGGCGATGATGTTTTCGGCCGGGTGCCAAGCCATGTGCAGAATCTTTTTAGAGAAGTCCAGACTGTCCACGCCCACATCACCCCTTCGACGGCGGCCCCCGGTGTAAACGCGGCGAGTCCGCAGCACAGCACGCGGTTTACTGCTCTCACGCCATGCCTCGAGGGTTACACCGCGACCGGTCTCGCGATCAAACATCCGGAAAAAACTGTTATACGCTCCTGTCATGATTACACTTGGAGGGGGTACGGTGAGAGACAGCAAAGCATGATGGGTTAAAAACAGAATGGGTATGTGGAGTTAAGAAGAAAAAAAGAGAAACAAATGAGCAAATCAATAGGATAAGACAGTAATGGAAATGCGAGAGAGAAAGTGGAAGGAAGAGAAAGAGGATATGAGTACAAAACAGGAAATATACCTATATTGCGTAGAATATGATCTTTCAAAGCCTGAGAAATGTTTACCTGTCGTTGCTGTTCCAGACGCACTCAAACTTGTCAAAGATGCAGTCATTTTCATACAAAGAGCAGAGTTTACTTCTTAGGTACTCATGAACCTGACACAGAAGGAAAAGTTTAAATATATAATATTTATAATTATTTTAAAATTATAAAATGTATTCTAAATTTTGAACACATACATTTATACAAAATGCAACTCTAACAGAGATAAAAACATACTGATGAACAGCAGAATTTGACTAGATATTTCACTATAAATAAAGGGACTCAAATCTGTGGATTGTTTATTGAATCTGTTCATTTACATGAACTGTCTGAGGGAATATATTTAATCAGTGTTATTAAAACTAAAACTTTAAAATAAAATAAAAATATTACATTAAAAACCTAAACAACAATTACTAAAACTTAAACTGAAATAAAAATATAGCTAGAAACATAACAATAGCAAAAAAAAATTACAATCAAACAAATTATACTTATAAATACTGAAATAGTATATAAATAAAACTAACATAACACCTCATAGGAACGGACCCTTAAGGATTTACTTGGACGAATTTAAGTATCCAAGTGTAAAAAGTTCTTATTTTCACATGAAAAAAAAAATCCTCATCAGCTAGAAATAGTTTAGCCTAGCATATGTATTGGAAATATCACGTGTTCATGCTGTTGTGTAAAGACCTGTATGATACCCACTTGGTAGGTCTCCACTGGGCCCTTCTCCATGTTAAGGTCCCATACTTTGACAGTCAAGTAGTCTCTGGTGAGCAGATAACGTCCACTATGGCTGAACTTAACATCAGAAACTGAAGAGATGATCTCAGAGAAGAAAGATCGATTGCCTGGATCTTCTGGTTCCTCAAAGACTGAGGTAGATAAAAGATACAGATTCAAACTGAGTTCAGATTCACTTTATATAATTAGGGTGGAGCAGTTTTTATCAGCATGATGAGCCTCCGTAATGTTTAACTTCACCTTTTACACTCTAGCTGTCAATCATCAGATATTTTCAGTTAATCAAAGTCTGCTGGGGAACGGTTTCAATGGTTTCAGTTAATGATGGTAATGATGAAACATTTTCTGCTTGTGTTTTAAAGCAGCTATAAGTGTAATTCTCACTACATCTGCTAGTGCTAATTCCCCCACCAGCAAGCACAGCTTCTCTTCTTAATTGTTTTCACTGTGTCCCGTTGTCTCTCCCACTGCAGCGTTACTTCTAGCTAAGTAAAGAATTCCTCAAATTGAAGATTTAATATAGGCATAAAGAATATCAATAGATTAAATGCAAGATTCGGGGATAGTTATAAGACATTTATCTTTCACAATAAGAGGCATTGTATATATCATTATAATTTCTATTTTAATATATTTTAAAATGCAATTTAATCCTGCTATGGCAAAGCTGAATTTTTAGCATCATTACTCCAGTCTTCAGTGTCACATGATCCTTCAGAAATCCTTTGAATATGCTGATTTGCTGCTACAGAAACCTTTCTTATTATTATTATTATCAAATTTGAAAACGGCTGCTTAATATTTTTGTGGAAAAAATGATAAATCTTTTTATTCAAGATTCTAGAATAAAAAGTAAAAAAAGAGCATTTATTTTTGTATCTTATATGTCTTCATTGTAACTGTTTTATGATATTTTTATGGTGCTTTAATTCCTCTTTGGCTCGAAAGCTCTTGTCTCCATTCATTGTATTCATTTAGTGAAAAACTTGATACATTTTTTATTCAAGATTCTAGAATAAAAGGTTAAAAAGAACAGCATTTATCTTTTGTATCTTATACATGTCTTTATTATAACTTTTCATAAATTTACCGTGTCCTTGCTGAATAAAATAATTTCTTTAAAATCATTTTTCTATTACTATCCCCTAAACTTTTGAACGGTACTGTAAGTAATGCAGTCATTGTGCTTATGAAGTGTATACTTACTTTTGGAGTGCTTGTCACAGAGGGCCGACTCTCTCATGTCACAGAGGCGCAGTGTGCCTTTACTGCTGCTGTATACAAACAGGTGGCAGTGATGTGGGTGGAACTCTGCAGCTGTTATCACCTCCGTCAGGTCCTCCATATTGGCAGGCTTAATGTCCACAATGTCTGAGAAGGGGGAAGAGGTCAAGGAGAGTATCTGATATACAGTTCTAAAAGCTATGTTTGAGACTCCTAATTCTCTCATGAACACAGATGTAAGAATGTCCAGTGAATAATGATTTAAAGAGGACATATTGTTCCCTTTTACAGTCTTGATTTTGTTTTTGGGGTTTACTAAAATATTTTTCAAATATTTTACTTTGTTGCAGCACTTCTCTTCCCAATCTGTCAGTAACGCTCTGTTTAGTTCCAGTTTCTATGAAGCCCCTCCTTCTGATAAGCGCAATGTGCTCTGATTGGTCGGCTGGACCAGTGTGTTGTGATTGGTGCCATGGCCCTTGAAATAACCGTAAAATTCAACACAAGATTAACATACTAAGTCAACCAGGCCTCACCTATTTTTTTGCATATGCCTTGGGTGGGAATTATTCAAATGAGGGATATAGTGTCATACATTAACAGAAGAAAATTCAAAACTACAATCGAGGCATTTCAGGTAGTTCAGAAACAGTGCTTCCTTACACTGAGAATATCTCCCTTTGGAGTGGATTTTGTACTTTGTAGCTTTGCAGACCTTTTTTCAAGCTCAAACAGTCACATTACACACAAAAGAAAGTTGAAAATGTAAAAAAGCATAATAGGTCCTCTTAAAATATTTTGCTTTGTTTCTCACACAAAGCTATTGCATGACTTCAGAAGATTTGGAATATAGTGTTTGAGTCAAATTCACAATTTTTATGGTGCTTTAACTCCAGTCTCCATTCATTGTAACTACACAAATAAACAAATACATACATACATACATACAAAATAACTCCCTTTGGGTTCCATGGAAAAAGAAAGACTTTTGGGTTTGGAATAAATGTTGATTGAATATTCACTTTTAGGGATCACACCTTGCAAGGTTTGAACCTACATCTTCTTTCACACTAGGCTTCACAAGGCGAAATTAACTGTCAATGTATTGTCAATATATTCCAGTTTTACATTGCTAAACGCTCAATGAGTGGTTCACACAGCTTCATGCGGAAATAGAGATCACATAAGGTCTACAACTGAAAGCACACTGACAGGGGTAGCTTATAAACTATGCATCATCAGCTCCCTTGATGGTGTAAAGCTCTACGGTTGTATGATTATTATTCTGAGCACTCACACGCACACATACATGTTCATCCGCACATCTACTCAGTAAGCACTACGCATCACATGCAAGCACAAACACACAACCTACAATTTTCCTGAAGGCAGCTATTATGTGTTTTAGAAGAGAGTGTTTCCTTGGTGAATTATTTAAATGTTTCCATAGATATTTTATTTCTAGGTCAGAGCCCTGCTCAAAAGAAGAACAGCTACGCAATCTGGAACACAAAACCCCTGGATTCAGTCCAGTCACAAGAACACAGAAACAAAAGCAATCCAGTTCAGAAATAATTTTAGCACCATATTCACCCAACTGATGCAACCTTTATGCCTCTGTCCCAATTATTTGGTTTAGTTAGTATAGCCAGTGTAAAGTGTAACAAAGACTGCATTTGATCTTTTTTCTGTGAATATAGATAGGAGGATAGACATGAAGGATACTGAAGCTTCGGTCGGTGATGTCCAGGTGCCACATGTTGATCCTGAGATCATCAGCAGACAGGTATGTCTCGCCATCGCTATTGACTGAGATGGAGTTGACGTGGTAGGTGTGGCCGTTAGCAAAGATTCTCCGTGGCCGCACTTCAACCATCAGGTCAGTGGGCTTCAGGACCGGCACCTGAAGGAAATTGATTTTAGCATCAGAGGGCATCACTATGTAACTTAAATAACAACAAAAACCGGTAATTACAAGTCATTAACAAACATTATTTACTTAGGATCCAAATTTCATGTACTTTCAAATATGATTATCATTTTACATATTCATTTGTTTCAATTAAAATGAATATGCAAAATTTGATCTATCTGTTTGAATGTATTATATTAACTAGTGATCTATAGTGATATAGTGAATGCTATACGGTTGTTATTTGGCTAATATACAGTATACAGTCAGTCCGTCTGTCATTATCGCAGGGTGATTTGCGATAATAACCGCTGGCTGAAACTTATCTGGCTTATTACACCAATACTTACCAAAAAAAAACAAAAAAACTGGACACTATTGATTTGAGTTATCATTATCATCATGCGAGAAGAAAAAGAAAACAGAGTAATATGAGAAACTAGCACAGTTACTGTTTGGAGGAAAATTGTTGATAATGACAACGGTCAATTATACAATTTAGGAGTCAATAAACAGAAGAATTTCATCACAGAATAGCTCGATCGACCAATCAGAAACATATTCCAGAGAGCTGTGTATAATAAGTTGTTATAGAGAATGACAAAAATCAGTGACTAAAACTAATGCTAAATCAAACCAGTTATATTCTCTGCAGTGGATTGATCTAATATGCCAGCTGTGAAAATACCCGTAATGAGGTCACTGTGGAGACGTCCTTTATTCGCCCTTCTTCGTCCTTCAGATTGTAGCCCTCTGGCCGCTTGTCTCTCTCGCTCACCTTCCATAGCTTTATCGTTTTATCTGTTGGAACATACAGTACCTGAGAAATTACCAGCCATTCATTTTTATAACAGAGACTTTCTATACCAAAACATCAATATATATTCCAGTGGTTTTGCCAGGCATTTTCATGCAAAAGGCCTTGAGAGTGCTTGAGAGTTCATGCTTATGATACTATAAATAATGGCTTTGTCTTACTTTCATAGAAATGTGTAATGCAACCCAGCTATTTCAGTCTAATATCTGGTATTGATTTCTTGCACAGAATAATCACAATGCCTTTTAATATTAGGCCTAAAATTATTTCCCTCTTATAATGAATGGTTCATTTTCTAATTAGGTGGATTAGACAAGTTTAAACCATGATAGACAAGAAGAGGTGTGATTACCGTTGGTAGAGAGGAGAAAGTGGGCAGCGTTTTGATGTGGCAGCCAGCGGATCTTATTGATCTTCTCCTCAATTTCCAAACTCTTCAGATAGTCAAAGTCCGGTTCGTGACTCTGGAACGTACTGTAGACATTATACTCACCCGATTCTCCCAGCTCCTCACATTCACCTTTAGACTGCATTAAGAAAAAAGACCCAAATATATAAACAAGATATATGCTTATGTACATAAATAAATACAGTCAAAATGTTTGAATTCTCAAATGTATAATTCACGAATGCACATTACTTAAACAGTTTGTGCGATGTATATGATATATAAACATGCAATCTCCCAGTTTAAAGATGTATTAGATAAAAAATTAGACCTAGAAATGTGGGAAATTCTTCTTACAGTTTTGCTTTTTGTAAATGTCCTCCAAAAGAACAAATAAACAGATGTCTGATCTTTAAATGGGTGAAACTCCATATAAGATGTCTCATAATAACAATGTGTTTTGTTTAGTATCTAGTTTAAAATGAGGGTAATACATGGAAAATGCACTGATTCAATGTTTCTAACTGTGATCTGTGAACCAGACGGCTCAATATCACAGTCGATATCTGATACGTTGTCTTAAACCTGAAAAAGTATTTTAAACCTGATCTATTTTAATTATGTCATAAGGCTCTTTGGGAAATGGAAATTAAAATCACCACAAGCATATTTAGTGTCCCATGCTATAGCGCTACAAAACGTGTGTAAAAACTAACATATCTAGTATTTTTACGACCTTTGATCTTCCCCTCCCCCATCTAATTCACTCTGCTGCTTAAAAAACACTACTTTAATCCCCAATTATCAATCACCCACTGTAGTGCTTAGCTCACAGTTTGACCTACCTCTGTTTCTCTCTGGAAGATGACCACTCTCCCCCCCTTATCCCCTGTGGCCAGCAGATCCCCCGTCTGGTTAAACTCCACTGTAGAAATGACATCAGCTACAAAGAAAGAAAGTGGATTGTGTTAATTCATCAGTGAAAATAGTAATAAAAAAATAAAAATATATAAATATATATATTAGTATTATAAAATAATATTTTCATAATATTATTGTCATATATATAAATATAATATTTGTATTTAGTTTGAATTATTGTTATTATTATTAAATACTTGTAATAAAAATGCATTTATAACTATTCTTGTCATTTTCTGAAAATAAAATCAAAATATATATTAAAAAACATTTTACTTTCTGTAAAAGAATATTTGTAGATTTTAGTGATTTGAACAACTGCAGGTGGCAGCACAGTATTTCTATCTTCATAGAAAATATATACAAATTTACACAAAATTGAAATAGATGGGTAGAGAATAACTGCACACCTGGAGCTAAATGCTAATACATTTACAGTCTTGCATGAAAATCCCAGCAAACAATATTTTACGGTAAATTACCTAAAGTAATATAAGTTTCATGAGTATGTGCTAGCACAGCACAACTGTTGTTTTGTCGACGCAAACACTTTTAGTCAAGAGCCTCATCTGGGCATATGGCTTCGCATTGTACACCCTAATAGTTGATAAACGGCATGCTCTTGCTCCTGCCAGTACAATGATGATGACACTCAATAAAAACAGCCTGGCTTGCTCCTGATGAAGCATTCAGTAACATGATTAGGGTAAGGCTTGCAAAAGACACAAATGTTTCCTAAGTCCAATTTAAAGACTAATGTGCAAGTGCTTGTATGGGAAAGTTAAAATACTCACTGATTCTCTTCAAAATCAAAAGAATATGATTTAAAATGAAATGCATGAAATGCAAGGCTATCTTGGTTCTGTTTGCAAATGCATTATTCTGGATGGCTTACAGCACCCAATAAAAATAATTGAATGAAAACAGTCTCACTAATGCATGCTGTAACCAAATAACAAATGTGATATGGGACCAGGTGACCAAAGTCTGATGAGTCAGCTGAATACTTAGTAGACCTTACCGCACAGCTGCTGAGATCAAGGTTATATTCAGGACTTCAGAAAGGTGAACAGGATCAAATAACAGTTTAGGTGTGTGTGAAGATGGAGTGTTCATGCAGGTGTGTGCACATACCTTCTGTGACATAGTCTCGGAGGAAGCTGTGATTGATTTTGGGGCTCTCACTGTCCTCACCCATCGGAAGCAGCGGAGTGCGTAAGCGCGCCCGTCCGGAGCAGAGCCGTCCAATCCGTGCTGTCCCACCCCCCCGGTGCTTTGCCCATGCTGCTGCGGCCTAGCAGAGTAGCCTGCCGCACAGCATCCTGGGATACAGTCTGCCTTTGCGAGGAGGAAGATGAGCGGCAAACGATGAAGGTGTGAAGGATGCCACGTCCAGACAGGGAACAGGGTGTGAAAACGGGATGAAAAAACGTTCAGTCAGCTGGAGAAAAGCACCTTGTCATATGCACACGTGCTTGAGCGGACGTCCTGACGCTCAGTCAACACTGCCTGGCAACAAGAAATGCAGAGGGAAAAAAGAGGATGTAGGTGTGTGAGTGATCCGTAGATCCGTCGTGCTGCGGTAAGACCTTTTCCAGGCACTCCCTGGGTGCGGTAGTCCTTGAAGAAGAGCAGAGGATAGCGGAGGAGAGAGAGACAGGTTGTCTATCACAGGAAGGATGAGGAAGAAGATGAGAGGCCTGGTCCTACCTCACAGCTTCACGGTGTGTCCTCTCCTTTCTGCTGCAGTGTGACGGAGTGCGCGTGTGTGTATGCGTGCTTGTGCGTGAAGGGAAAGGAAAGATGAAAAAGAGGGGGGAGGGAGAGAAAGAGGGAGAGAGAGAGAGAGAGAGAGAGAGAGAGAGAGAGAGAGAGGATACCGCCAGCCTGTCTTTCTCGACTACCACTGCTGCTGAGCATCTGCACAGCATCACGATGTCACAGAAGCCTCCTACCTGCTTGACCAATCAGAGCTCAGCTATCCTCCGTTGCCCCTCCCACTGCAGGTGACAAGAGGAATGAGCTCAGAGAGGAGAGTAGATGAGGAATCAGGGAGAAGCAAAAGAAGAGAGGCAAGATAATCTAGGATGCGGTGGAGCCAGAGATATTCTTTGGAGTGAGACGTGTGCCACAATGAGACTGATGGGAAATGTGGCAAGATGACATCCAAAATGGGAAGGATGGAAGAGGAAATGCAGATAAAAGAAAGCAGATAATGGAAGGACAAATATACACATTTGAGGTAAGAGAAAAGGGTACATGAATGTGAAAAGAGGTTTGACAGATTGTAAGGAAATACTGTAATGTGATAAAATTGGGAAGACATGAAGATCCTCTGAAAACTTGTTGAGTTGCTCCCCCTAGTGTGTGTAGATAGTAATAAACAGATGGGAAGGTTAGGATTGAACAAATGTCAAAACTAAGAAAGTAAACATTTGGGTAATAATTGTAAGGTTATATGCATAAACATTTCTGGTAATCTAAACTACTTGTTTAATTTTTCCATTTAGGGAAACAATAAAATAAAAAAACTGAGGTAAACAAAGCAATGCCAAATAAGCATATGTTTAATGCGTAAAAGGTCTGTAGTTAAAAATTACTAGATGATACTTTCTTTTTGTACTACAACATAAATTAACAACAGCCATAATTTAAACATAAATTTTTGTAGCCAACACTGTTATTTTATAATACTTAATTTTTTTTAACGGAAGTTGCCACTACAACCACAAACTGATGTAACGTTAGTTTGGTCACATGCAAAAACGTTACCTGAGAACTTTTGACTTCAGCTTGGAGTGAGAATTCGATTAATTCGAGCGCCAAAACGGTTGTTTGAATTTCTTAAAAAACGAAGATTATAGGCTGATGAATCGATACAAAATTCATCCGTTGGAAGTTAGGCAGTCAGTTGACAGAAAGTTCGTCACGTCGCTCAGGTAAATAAGGCAAGCCTCTAGTTTCTATTTTTTCTTCTTCTTGGGAGAATGCTACCAGTAGAGGACGCTATTGGCATGGCGTGTTACTTGAAATGCAATGAAATGAAATAGTAAATACATTTTTGTACTTGGAAGTATATACTTTACATATATTATACTTTATATATTATACTTTAGAAATATTGTACTTACTTGATGTAGCCTACTTTTGTGGACTATAAATATTAACGTTACATCACAATATCACTTTAACATAAGGAATCACTTTAACATAAGGAGCTTTGTCATTCTCATTAAAAACGCGTTATTTCATAACTCGTTGCACTGTTCTACTTTTTTCTGCAGTGAAGCTTTCGTAGGGGAAGAGGAAGTGCTTTCTAGAAAAAGGAATGTGGTTAAAGATGTTCTGCTCATGACTGAACCACATACTTGGGAAGTCCTGATGATGACATTCTTCTGACATACATTCTTTTGGAATGTCATTATCTGTAATATCATAAAAACTTATTTAAATGTGTTACTTAAATGTTTTTTTATTAATTAAACTCCATGTTCACTGTCCTCGTGCTCTGTTCTAGTCTTTAATCAGTTTGCTTCTTTATCTGGGTTTGGATCATGTGGGATTTGTCTATGTATGTCCACTTGACATTTTCTAATAGCTCCTTGGCAGGTAGAGTGAGTTAAAGAAAAGAGTGCAAAGTCATTAATAGCTCTCTGGGACACTAATCCAGTTCCCTGAATGGGCAAAACAGAACCTAACTGTGTTATTTCAGGGATTTGTTTTATGTAACAGATTAGTCTCCAAATCCACTGTGAAGAGTTGAGTTGTTAGTGTAGCTGGTGACAGCAAAGCTTAATCCTCTGACCTGCCCGGGACAGCGACCGTGCAGATCTGTGCTTTTCATCTCTCTTTTGTCACTCCTTCAGTAAGGTCCAGCAACTTGCCTATCAGCATCTGCATTTGGAGAGAAGAGAAAAGAGAGAAAGCATGCCATGTCTGCACACGGAGTCCCTGTCCTCTTTGCCTGCTGAAGGCAGGTATGGAGTCACCTCAACCCGCATGGGGTCTCAAGGATCCAGGTCCAAATCTGGTAAAAAAGGGAAGAATGGAGAGAAGGGCCAGCCTGTCTTTCTCGACTACCACTGCTGCTGAGCATCTGCACAGCATCACGATGTCACAGAAGCCTCCTACCTGCTTGACCAATCAGAGCTCAGCTATCCTCCGTTGCCCCTCCCACTGCAGGTGACAAGAGGAATGAGCTCAGAGAGGAGAGTAGATGAGGAATCAGGGAGAAGCAAGAGAAGAGAGGCAAGATAATCTAGGATGCGGTGGAGCCAGAGATGTTCATTGGAGTGAAGACGTGTGCCACAATGAGACTGATGGGAAATGTGGCAAGATGACATCCAAAATGGGAAGGATGGAAGAGGAAATGCAGATAAAAGAAAGCAGATAATGGAAGGACAAATATACACATTTGAGGTAAGAGAAAAGGGTACATGAATGTGAAAAGAGGTTTGACAGATTGTAAGGAAATACTGTAATGTGATAAAATTGGGAAGACATGAAGATCCTCTGAAAACTTGTTGAGTTGCTCCCCCTAGTGTGTGTAGATAGTAATAAACAGATGGGAAGGTTAGGATTGAACAAATGTCAAAACTAAGAAAGTAAACATTTGGGTAATAATTGTAAGGTTATATGCATAAACATTTCTGGTAATCTAAACTACTTGTTTAATTTTTCCATTTAGGGAAACAATAAAATAAAAAAACTGAGGTAAACAAAGCAATGCCAAATAAGCATATGTTTAATGCGTAAAAGGTCTGTAGTTAAAAATTACTAGATGATACTTTCTTTTTGTACTACAACATAAATTAACAACAGCCATAATTTAAACATAAATTTTTGTAGCCAACACTGTTATTTTATAATACTTAATTTTTTTTAACGGAAGTTGCCACTACTACAACCACAAACTGATGTAACGTTAGTTTGGTCACATGCAAAAACGTTACCTGAGAACTTTTGACTTCAGCTTGGAGTGAGAATTCGATTAATTCGAGCGCCAAAACGGTTGTTTGAATTTCTTAAAAAACGAAGATTATAGGCTGATGAATCGATACAAAATTCATTCGTTGGAAGTTAGGCAGTCAGTTGACAGAAAGTTCGTCACGTCGCTCAGGTAAATAAGGCAAGCCTCTAGTTTCTATTTTTTCTTCTTCTTGGGAGAATGCTACCAGTAGAGGACGCTATTGGCATGGCGTGTTACTTGAAATGCAATGAAATGAAATAGTAAATACATTTTTGTACTTGGAAGTATATACTTTACATATATTATACTTTATATATTATACTTTAGAAATATTGTACTTACTTGATGTAGCCTACTTTTGTGGACTATAAATATTAACGTTACATCACAATATCACTTTAACATAAGGAATCACTTTAACATAAGGAGCTTTGTCATTCTCATTAAAAACGCGTTATTTCATAACTCGTTGCACTGTTCTACTTTTTTCTGCAGTGAAGCTTTCGTAGGGGAAGAGGAAGTGCTTTCTAGAAAAAGGAATGTGGTTAAAGATGTTCTGCTCATGACTGAACCACATACTTGGGAAGTCCTGATGATGACATTCTTCTGACATACATTCTTTTGGAATGTCATTATCGGTAATATCATAAAAACTTATTTAAATGTGTTACTTAAATGTTTTTTTATTAATTAAACTCCATGTTCACTGTCCTCGTGCTCTGTTCTAGTCTTTAATCAGTTTGCTTCTTTATCTGGGTTTGGATCATGTGGGATTTGTCTATGTATGTCCACTTGACATTTTCTAATAGCTCCTTGGCAGGTAGAGTGAGTTAAAGAAAAGAGTGCAAAGTCATTAATAGCTCTCTGGGACACTAATCCAGTTCCCTGAATGGGCAAAACAGAACCTAACTGTGTTATTTCAGGGATTTGTTTTATGTAACAGATTAGTCTCCAAATCCACTGTGAAGAGTTGAGTTGTTAGTGTAGCTGGTGACAGCAAAGCTTAATCCTCTGACCTGCCCGGGACAGCGACCGTGCAGATCTGTGCTTTTCATCTCTCTTTTGTCACTCCTTCAGTAAGGTCCAGCAACTTGCCTATCAGCATCTGCATTTGGAGAGAAGAGAAAAGAGAGAAAGCATGCCATGTCTGCACACGGAGTCCCTGTCCTCTTTGCCTGCTGAAGGCAGGTATGGAGTCACCTCAACCCGCATGGGGTCTCAAGGATCCAGGTCCAAATCTGGTAAAAAAGGGAAGAATGGAGAGAAGGGTGCTCATGTGGAGAGGAATGACAGTGAGAAAGAACAGAGTGTCATAACCAGTGCTGGATGGTTCTTCTCCCCGCTCTGGAACCCTGGTGCCAAAACCCAGAGACTGGGATTCAGGATGGGACAGGAAAGCGAGAGAGTGAAGGCATGGCTGGATGATCATTCAGATTCTGCCAGGTCTTACTTTAGCAGATCTTCAAGGTGAGCAGTGTAGTGGTATCTGTGAATCTGCGAGTGTGTGAAACAAATCTTGTTATTAAATGATGTGATGTGAAGCATTTGTAATCATGCATATTCATTGTTCAAGTCTTAAAGTTTGAAAATTGCATAGTCAGAAAAATGGTTCTAAATAGCACCAGATTAGGTTTCTACGAGGTATACCCCCAGTTTTACAGACAAGACTTACATGTTTGAGCTGGTTTAACTGAAAGCAACTTGCCCTAACATATCTTAAAATATGTCAGTGCCACTGTTTAGTCTCAAAATGCACACCAGTAATGTTTTTTTCTAAGGCACATTTATTAAAGCTAATTAAATGTCCTAATTGATTCAACTAATGCATAATCCTAGCTTAATCTATTCTAAGTACTGTCTGTAGAACCAGGCCATAATGTTTTTGCCAAACTTTTAAATGGTAGTGTATATACATTGGTTATTTATTTAATATGGCACACTCAAACTTTTACTTTTATAGTTCCATTAGGAACAGGAGCCTAAACACCAACACTAAGTAGTAAAGTAGCTATTTCAGCATATCAGAGTTTGTTCCTTATAAATGATTTTAAATTGAAAAATAATACATTAACCAGTAAGGAAATATTTTTGAGACATCATAAATGATCTCACAGACAGTGTTTGATGAAAAGAAAGACCACTATAGTTCAGTATGATTTTTAATTTGGTCTTGTGACAAACAGACCTACCGGTATGTTCTAAGCTGGGAAACATCATCCAAAACACAAGATACACTGGTGACCACCCACGATTGTCTTTGTTGACAGGGATGGCTTTGCCCAAATTGCTAGCAGTGCCATTTAATCTGCTGTGTCCCTTCTCTTCTTAGACATTGGGTGAATGGCTGTGTAGAAAGAGCCCAAGCTGCCCAAACCCTCATAACTGAGCCAAGGTCTAGGATGACCATTCTTGGCAGACGCAGGGTGTCCCACCCTATGTCTGGGCCCTCTCGAGGGATTCTGCACCCTGCCACAATGAAAAGACCACACTCCTTTTCCGTCCATCAGATTGATAATCCTGAGAGTTTGGAACAAACAACATGTTTGCCACATTCTCTGAGCTCCTCAAGACCAGCGGGACAGTGTAGAAGAGGCAAGTCCTGTAACTTCATGATGCGGCTCGTTGGTGGTCCGAATAGACCTCTACAGAACAAAAATATCTGTCTTCAGGTCCTACAACATCTTTGTGAAATCACTCAGGCTCAGAGCTGCTGTTTCTCAATGACCACCGTGGACAAAACAGGTGTAAAGTGTTTGGGTCCTGTCTTCCAATCAAATGAGGAGTCTGTCTACGACTACACACAGTCAGAGTGGGACAAGTGCATTATGGGATATGTGGTCAGCACTGGGAGGCCTCTTAACATCAGGGATGCCCGTGAGGTAATAAATTCAGGTTGTTCCATGTCAAGTCTAATCTGGATTTTACACACCCTCTCACAGTCAATTCAGGTCTGGTCCAGGATTCCCCCTATGGCCCCGTCCACACTCCTGCGTTTTCGTTTAAAAACGGAGACCTTTTGCTACGTTTGCACCTCCCGTCCACACTAAAACGGCAAAAACGGAGACCCAAAACGGAGAAGTTTAGAAACGCTGCCGATCCGTTTTTCGTTTTGAAACTCCGGAGGGCGTTTTAGTGTAGACGGGTCAAGACGGAGGACTTTAGAAACGATGACGTAGTAGAGGCTCACGCTCGGCTCTATGATTGGGTGTCATCAGTCATGGCGTATATCTTTGCTAGCAGCTGTTGTACAAGTAAATTCTGCATTTTACAACGCTATAACTGCCTACATGCGCCGGAGTCAAGCTATTATTCCAGCGATCTGTGACAATTCCCGTGTGCAGCGGCGGCGTTGACCGTACATGGAGCGTCGGTTTGGGGTTAACCCAGAGCATGGTGGGATAATTTTATCAATGAAGTTGTGTTTACACCGGCACGCGCATGCCCAGTGTTGGTGAATGGTCACGTGATCCGCGTTTTCAGTCGTTTTAATGTGGACGGAGATCAATTCTAATACGCAGCTAAAACGCTGGTGTGGACGGAGATCGTATTCGTTTTAATTCTCCGTTTCTAAACTAAAACGCAGTAGTGTGGATGGGGCCTATAACAGTAACACTAGATTACTCAGGCACTGAGTACGGACCTGAACTCATTCTTTGTACTCAAAACAGACTGGCCGTTAAAGGGGTAATCGGATGCAAAATTCACTTTTATATGGTGTTTGCATATAAATGTGTCTTTGCAGTGTGTGGACACAACCACCATACAATGAACAATGTTTAACCCCTTAAGTGTCACCCATAGCCATTACATATTTAAAACAGTAATATCCTATACTAAACCCAGGGTTCTCAAGTTTTATCAAAAGCTTGGAGTGAGATCACATGCGGTTAGGGGAGGAGCCTAAACGGAGCCCCCGCCCCCGCCTATCCCCGCCCCCAATTTTACCCATTGTTCATAATTAACCAGCAAAAATTTAAATTATAACAATTGGTAAATTTGATAAATGACAGAGCAATTCATCACATCAAATATAGGCCTACTCTTTAACGTTATATTTCAAAATTAGGCTACAAATATATAACAAATTGCTCCAAAATGTTTGGAAAAACAAATATTTTTACATTTTTCCCTGACATCTTTGAAAAATACAAATGTAATGGCAATGATTAGGCTAATGTATGTTTTGACAGGATATACAATATTACCAAGAGCACTCTGCTTTACCCTTAATGTAACTAAATACTATTAATACAGTATAATATAGAATTTAAAATAAACTTAAGAAATACATCTTCATTCCTTCCCATACCCATTAACATTTCCTTAGCCAAACTGAGACAAAGCTTTTGGCCTGGTTGCAAAGCAGTTGTAGAGTTTTTGACTGCATCAATAATGTATACAATGGGCTATATATTAACTCTAGTTTGACGCTTGACCACTTTGTGTTAATTCGCGTGTCAATGGCGAGATTGACGCGCGTAACAACAATAGTTTGAAGCGAAATTTACGCGCGTCAGAGGCGAAATCCGGAGGCGAAAGTTTCGAAACCCGTTGGCGGCCATCTTTTTAGATGTTTATCGAGCATTAGCATTAGCATTATTCGAGAGAGTCACCGCTCGTATATGCTCTGGAGAGCAGAAACAGCTGCGTAGGGGACATCGTCGCTGTACTCGGGTCCACCAGAACCTCCGGAGGGTTTCAGGAGTTTCACAATTTGCTCCAGGAGCTAGGTTGCGTGAAATGCAATACACCGATCGCGCAGCAGGGGGTAGTAGAGTCTAGAGTCGAGTCACGTAATATTCAGATCAAAATGGCAACTGAAGAGGAGTGCATATTGCTGATTTTACATCGGCGGCAACAAAGGATGTATACGAACAAGCTCGCATAACTTTTCCTCTTCGCCCGCCATTGTATTCAAATCTTCTTCTCCTGTAAACATAATAATATACCTTTTTATGTACATTACTTGCAATGTCGCCCCCACCGACAACGCATAGTATTGCGTGCATCGGCGCGTCGCGTATCAAAAACTAGGATGACACATTTGGCTACGCATCGACGCATAATGGCGGCCGAAGCGTAGCGATGTGTAGCCTTGCGCACGCGTATGCGTGCCGATGCGTTGACTATGTAAGGGCCCTAAATCATTCGCGCTTAACGCGCCAGACGCTCAATTCGCGCCATTCGCGCGTACTTGACGCGCGAATGAGGCGTATTCGCGTCTACCGCGCCGCGCTCTACGCCTCATTCGGGCCGCAGGAATTTTTTACGCGCGTAACGCGTCTTTGCATTGACTTAACATTGAAATCACTCGCGCCTGACGCGCTATTCGCGTCCGGTGTGAACGCACCATAAGGCGTGTTAAGACCCTTATTTTGAAATAGTGATGAACATGAAAATCATGAAAGAATGGTAGAAACCTCAGTTGGTTTTCTTGCCAACAGTTCAAAAGATAACATCCATTACATTTTTTAGGAAAAAAGGTCTGAAAATGTTTTATATATAAAGAAAATATTATAGATTCACCATTTGTGATGCGGCGGCGAGCTATAACAGTTTTAGATAATAAAAAAATCAAAGCGTTTTGGCTTTGATTTTCATGCAGTTTTAGAGTCCACCAGGTTTTGAAAAAATATATTTTATATAAAATATGAATAATTAAATTTTTACATTTTCATAAACTCTAAATTCTATAACTTTTTTTCTGTTTCACTTTCTTAAATGATTTAACTTCTACACAAATCTGCCAAATGTCTTCTTTAAAACAAGAACAATCATGTTTACATTTTAGATTTTACATCTATATTCCAAAACATTCTTGAATTATTTACAACCATTTAAGTTTGGATTGTGCATTTTCATGTTTATTCAAAAAAGGGGGCGTGACACTAAAAAGTATGATCACTCTCAATAATCAAGCCGTTTGGATTTTATTAGCATATTATCTGCCCTCAGCCATTTATATACTGTCCGCCAAGGCAGCACTTCAGTTGCTCATTATCATTTAAAGAGACATGCACCGAAACGGGTTGCTGTGAACAGAGCTGTTTTTTGAGGTAAAAAGGGTGTTGTTTTACACAACCATTGAGGAATTTTATCCAAAGTATGTTACGGACTTTACATAAAGACCCTAAAGAATCACACCAACTTGTGGAAAATGGAAAATTAAAATAAAACATTAAAATTGAAAACAACTCATTTTATATCTACAAGTTGCTTTAGGCATCACAACATAATTCTGTGAAATAAGCTATGAGCAGATGAACCGATATACAATGAATGTATAATTTTTTTCGCTAAATAAATTCAAATTAAAACACTAGAAACTAAAATTAAAATAAATTAAATGCTACAATTGATTTTAGGGCGCAAAACCTATTATAGTACAACATGAATAATGGTTATTCATTTTGAGGTTTAGGCTAATAAAGATTACATTTAACAGTGTTATTAAATTATAAGTGTTTTTAAAGATTAAATTTAAGTGAGCATTATATGATGGCGAAGGTAATCTCAAAGTAAAAATAGGGGAAATAAGCATGCACAATTAATTTAATATTTAATGTTGACAGATGGATACATTAAAAAATATGAACTTATATATACTTATGTTATACAAATATATCATCCTCATCTTTAGATTTATTGGAACTGAATATGCGTGGGAACGAGAGACGAGATTGCATGTACTTGTGAGCCTTTATACGCTCTGAGGCATATCTGTGGGAATGGAAATATTCCATGGAATGGAAAAAGTTTAAACCCAGTTTTTTTACTGTGACAGCTGGCAGAATGTGAGAAGAGAGAGAGACAGAATGAATAGCACAGAAACTTAAATGGTATCTCTCTCAGAAACATTTCACAACTCTCATCTTTGGCCCTCTTTAAGGGTTCAACCCCGTTATGCCTCTGAAATTTCTCATGTTTGACTGCAGACAGTTATAAAACAACATACACTGTCATCACAGAGATAACATAGTGATGCAAGGTTTTAAACTGATGTGTTGTACTGAATAACTGATTTGAACTGTCCTTTTATAGGATCCAAGATTTCAGACTGAACTGTATGAGACAGGAGAAGACAGACCCAAGAGTATTCTCAGTGTGCCCATCCTCAACCACAAAAAGGAGGTTGGACAGTTATAAATATATTGTCACTATGCTATATGTCCAGTATTGTATTACCACTAACAAGATTGGTTGTACGACATTTTTTATAATGTATTATTTGTATCTGCTGTCAGTCTTTTTAGTAATGAACATTCATTTGTTTTTAACTGACTATGGACTGATTTTGACAGGTTATAGGTGTCATCATGGCTGTGAACAAAAGCAGGCGAGGCACATGCGTAGACAGCTATTTCTCCGAGCAAGATGAGAAAGCAAGTATTGACCAATATTAAACATGGCATACATTTTGCCTTTCAAAAATCTAAATTTAATAATACAGAGTACATGTCCATTTTTGTACATGAAATTTGAATTTGAACTTTGTGACATAGACCTGGGGCCTCATTTAAAAAACTGTGCGTAGGATCCTTACTAAAAGTGTACATGCGCCCGAAAGCCAAAAATGGCGTACGCAAAAAAATATTCAGATTAATAAAACCGTGCGTACGCCAGAACCTGCGCAGAATTCACTTTATAAATCCCGATAAATCTCAGTCAGCGGAAGATTGTGCGCACACGCGTCTCCTCCCCGAAATAACCATATATGGAGCTTACAACGCCTAGTTTTACTATGCATATCCTCATCTGCATATCATTTGCATATGATTATTCATCCACGTGATAACATGTTTAACGGTATAGACATTAGGAAAATATGAAATAGCCTAATACGGATGTGCCGTCACATTAGCCTACATTAATAAAAATAATTTAGTAGCCTATCCTTGCCTTGTTTTTGAATAAATAAATCAAATAGTGTAAAATACATTTCAGAGAAAGTTTTCACAATCTTTTCCACTGATCAAATAGTATTTTTTATTGATTTATATTTTTAATGGAAACAGATAGACTGTTGTTGTGCATTATTTGCACGAAACTATTTTCTCAGACAATCTGCTATAAGCAATTATCTCTTTAGTTAAAATATTAAAACACAGCATGCCAGAGGAAAAGTGTTCAAAAGCATTGCATCCATAAGAAATATTTATATTTATTAAATATAAAAAATGTAACTTCTCAGTAATGATTTCATGTTTAAGTGTTTAACTCCATCAATGACAATGGCATATTTAATCTAAATGTTTATATCAGAAGTAAAACAGTTTAAATCATTCTTTTATTTATTTAAACTGTTATTGTGAACATGCACTGTTTTTATGATTAGGACTCTGTCGTTAGATAGGCGTTAGTTTCACTAAACGGCACAACGCGCTCGCTGGCGCGGACATTTAAGAAGGGATGAATATTTGCCTCAAGTACATGCTTGGTGAGTGAAATTATATTTGTATTATCTTTCTGTATAGCCTATGTATAATTTTCTTTAGATGTTCTGTCTAAAAGTGACCAAAAAGACATTTAACTCCAGCTCACCATCGGTGTCGCCAAACTGCTCCGTCTCCAAAACGTTCGTACGCATGGGTCAGAGTTTGCGTGCAGGTGCGCACATTTTTCCGTCAAGTTTGTTTTTATAAATCACAACTTATGCGTCGGAAGTGGCGTACGCCTCTTTCAGGGCCTGTTTTGTGCGTACGCAACGGTTATAAATGAGGCCCCAGGTATCTCTAATAAATAATTAAAGCTAACTACTGTTGTCACGAAATACTCCGAGACATGAAGGTTGAGACACAGGCAGATAACAAAAACCAGGAACATGGAAAACAGTGGAAACGCTCAGAAATACAGTGTCACACGTACAAGACTTTGCAGGGAATGAATGTGAAAACCAGGCTATTATAGGGTGAGTTAAACAAGGTAACTAATGAGACACAGGTGGATGCAATCAGGGATGATGAGTCAAGTCAGAGAGTTACGGGAAATGTAGTTTCATTAGGGAATGGCAATAGTCTGGGGTGGAGTGCCCTCTGGTGGTAATGATGGGCACTCTCACTGGTAATCATGACAACTGTCATGTGACTTGACTGGATGAGTCAAAGAATGAGACAGTGTTTTGCCACTAGATGCTGTCGTCACATATGGTGTTGTTCGGACTGATCCTGGAAAACAGCCAGCTGTGTGAGAGTTCTGAACAAGAGAGCAAACGCAACCAGGTAAATCACTCAGACTTTATTCATTTAGACACCTTTATCTAAAGTGACTTATGAGGAATGCGTCAACATAAGTGATTCCTCTGAAGGAGACATATCTGACAGAACTAACTAAAAATAAGATATATTTACAATATACAGTATAATTAGCAATTAACTTAAAAAGTACTGAAAAGTGCTATGAAGTAATACCATGGTGCTATGATGTATAAATCACAATGATTTATTAATCCTACATTGTGCAGTTACGTTACTTTAGGATTAATCTTAAATTCACTGTGGTTATAATCGTGGTGGATTTGATTGACAGGTTCTGCTGGAGTTGGCCCAGCTGGTGTCACATGACTACCCCTCTGTGGATGACATGCTCAGCAAACTGGCTGCTGTCATCCTGCCAGTGACAAAAGCACAATTCTGTACTGTTTTCATCTCAGATGACAGCTCCACGGTAGTACAAAAATGAATAAGTTCATGGAGAATGATTCATTTGTATATTAGCATCTGTTAAGTGTTGGTTTTGCTCTTGCTTAAGTCGTTCACTTTCATTTAATTTCTTGTAAAGGTTTAAAAACAACACAAAGCTCATGAAATGCTTATGATACTGAACTACTAAAAACGGCTTGATAAGTTGACTGATAGATCCGGGGGGTTTTTATGTCTTGAAGGAGCCTTTCTCAAGGATGGTCCATATAGAAGAAACCAATTGCTCCGTCCAATGTTCCACAAGGTAAATAAATGTACATTTATAATTTGTTTACGACACACAATAACATTTACTTTGGTTTGTTTAAGCACATAATGTTGAAAGCCATATAATAATAGTCTTCAGAATTTCTCCCTAAAACTTTAGCAAACAACAAATTAATAAAACATTTGTATATGTATATATGAGCATTTGTATATATATATATATGAGCAACTTAATGTCAGTTAAATATCAAATGGCAGATTTGAATGTAATCTTCAGGGATTGTGACACCAGTGACATCAGCTACATGTGTGCTGTTCATGTGCGAAACTCTGTGGAGACGCTGAACTTTGTCAACAGGCCTGTAAGTTGATCTGATTGATTTAATAATTTTCACTCTGCTATTTATATAATCTTACCAATAACATCTATTTATACCTGCTGGTATAAATACTTTTGCTACTGTAATGATTGAGATCATATTTCTACTTGGAAACCAGCAATGACCTATTTGCAAAGTCTTTCTTCCTTTTTTATATAGGGAAAAACATATCATGTGACCAAAAAGTACAGATTTTTTTTTTCTGACATACAGTTTTTGTCTGTTCTCCAAGGCCCAGATTTCCAAGGTCCCTCAGATCAGAAGTTTGATCGGCACACCTCTGAGAGGCAAACAGAGAGGTAATGTCATTCAGTAGTTAAATGTTTCACAGTCTTGTATTGTTCCATTGAACGAAAACTCTGTCTTCATGTTTTCCCAGATGATTTTTTGGTTGTTCAGATTTGTTTCATTTATAGCTCAAGAGATCATATTATATTACATGCAATAAGAGTATACAGCTCTAAATGTAACATGGAATACATCATTCAGATCATTTGGTTTGGGAAGGATTTGGGAAGACATTTTTGAGTTCATGCGGAAACCCCAGACTTAGAAAATCTGAGCACAGTCTGTGATGTTGTTAAGATCAGTTTTTAATCCTGTTTGAAGAGGAGACATGATATAACTGGGGTCTTTTAACTATAGGGTCAAAAAGTCTCCATTTGCTCCCTTTTTAATGTCATTAAAAAGATCTTATTTGTGATTGGCCTCAGTTCAAATATATTACATCCCATTCTGTTCATTGACAATGATACTGGTATGCAAATAGTCTGTTTAGTCAGTATACATATTGCTTTCTTCGTATAGGTGTGTGCCAGCTAGTCAATAAAAGAAACGTGGCCCTTGCTGAGACAGAAGTTTTTAGCCGAGCTGATGAGCTCCTCCTGGAGGACTTTGCGGTGTACTGTGCTCTAGGATTGCAGAACTTCAACATGCAGCAGAAGGCAGATAAAACCAGAGCCAGGCTGGCTGTAACTAAAGAGGTAAGACATGCCATCACATCCCTTTTGAGTCACTGGAAATCACTTCATATTGTAAGAATAATGAGTAAGTGATTTTGAATGCTGACTCAACAATCACACAAGACACTTGATTTACACAGGAAAATCTAATATTTTAAAAAAGTACTACAGAATTGAGCAATGAAAATACTGTACATTGTTTTTCTTTCTTTTTTCATGATGTGTATGTATATGGGTGTGTATGTGTTTGCACCTATAGGTCTTATCTTATCAAATCTCTGTTTCACAAGAGGAGATTCATGACTTGGAGGTAACATTCTTTTTAATACTTCCTCTTATTTTTCTTGATAAGTACCTCCAATCCAAGAACCGCACGTATGACTAAATTAACTTATTTATAACTTACTTATAATTTAAGTGTTAAAGCCTTTAATTGTTGATGTGATAAAGGAACTTGCAACTTCCTGTGGTTAGGGTAGTTTATTCTTGTGTGTGTTTGTGGTTTTGTCAGTTGCACCACTCAACCCAGGACATTGTGAAAGATTTAATCAATAATCTTCCCATTTCCCCTCGCTTTCCTCTCCAGGAGTCCGTCATCCCGTCAGCAGATGCACTCTGTCTACTGGATTTTGGCTTCAGTGATTTTAATATGTCCCAGACTGCCATGGCTCAGGCCGTTGTGCGCATGTTCCTGGATCTTAATTTGCCCCAGGATTTCAGCATTGACTACAAGGTTTCTGGTTTAATCCTGCTTGGCTCTTCTAAATAACTAAAATCACAATCAAGCTTTGAGTAATATACTTGCATGTAAGCTATGGATCTAGAGTTGGTATTTCACTTTCTTTTTCAGACCCTGTGTCAATGGGTTTTGAGCATAAGGAAGTGTTACAGGAACAATGTGGTCTATCATAACTGGAGTCATGCATTACATACTGCTCAGTGTATGTTTGCCATGCTGCAGACAAAGGAGCTAAAGGTCAGAATCATAGTCTGTCGATAAACAATTTGTCCTAATCCTTTTTTTTTTTTTTATGTAATGGATTCGAGGAGTTTTGTGATTTAAAAAAAGTAACAAATCCTTTCCTCGCGGGGCAATTTGACCTCCATAGGAATGAATGGAATGCGAGGAATGCTTCAGTACACATAGAAAAAACAAGAAATGCTCAGAATTCTAACTAAAACTGCTAAAACTTTACCCAAAAAAATATTTTATAATGTCTACATGTGTATCTGAATGCATACTGAAGAGAAATGACTTTAGGACCCAGCGGAACAGCTCATTTGCTTTAAACAGAGCTATAAGGCCATCTAATAGCAAGAGTCATGAAATATCATGTCATATTTTTTTTTTCCACAAGAGATCAGCAAAGACACCCAATGTAAGATATTTTGAGCTGAATCAAAAGGGTTACGCATGAAATTGTGAGTTATTTTGAATTTAAAAGTTGAAAGAATGTGAGGAATGTGCTTAAATTACTATTTATTATTTATTGATCAGATCTGGTCATTTAAAGGTAATAATAATAAAATAAAATAACAAAAAATAGACAGAATATTATAAAAATTAAATAAAATAAGCTTTCTGGACCAAAAAAAAATAGTATAATTTTAGGGCTTCGGGTAATTTTGACCCATGAGTGAAAGACGTGTTACAAAGTGAGAAGAATGAGGGTTAAGCAAATTATTAGTTAATTAATCCATGTCTTCCCAAATCTCTGATATTTCATTGCCCTCACATTTGGTGTTATTCCAAGTTTACTTAATCTCTCATGTTCTTTAATCCAGAGTAATTTTAGCAGTCTGGAGGTTCTTGCTCTCATGATTGCCAGTCTGAGCCATGATCTGGACCATAGAGGCGTGAATAACTCTTACATAGAGAGGTAAACTAGTACACACTACTCCAACCCCCACTTTGATAAAGAACATCTCTAACTATGGTGGTATTCTAAACATTATTCTAAACTTCAGTAATGATATGCAGCTACATTGGCCTAATAAGTATTTGGACACACATTTAAACACTGTAAATTGCCTTAATATGTTGTCCTGGCAAATAATGCATTCTTACAGTCTGTAGTGCATTTTGGTATTCTCTTTTTCTCTTTCCCCTATCTTTCTCTCTCTGTGTTTTAGGAGTAACCAGCCTCTGGCACAGCTGTATGGTCACTCATCCCTAGAGCACCATCATTATGACATGTGCCTTCTCATTCTCAACAACCCCGTAAGATCCCATAACATCTATCCATCCATCCATCCATCAATTCATACCATTGTTTATCCATCCATCCATCCATCCATCAATTCATAACATTGTTTATCCATCCATTCATCCATCCATCCATCCATTCATAACATTGTTTATCCATCTCTCCATCCATCCTTCATCCATTACATTATTTATCCATCCATCCATAACATAATTTATCCATCCGTCCATCCATTCCTAACATCTTCCATCCATACATACATTAATCCATCCATCTATTTATCCATCCATCCATCCATCCATCCATCCATCCATCCATTTATACAATAATGTATCCATCCATTCATAAAATAATCCATCCATCCATTTATAAAATAATCTATCCATCCATTCATAAAATAATCTATCCATCCATCCATCCATCCATCCATCCATTCATAACATAATTATCCATACATCTATTCATAACATCCATCCATTCCATCCATAACATAATTTATCCATCCATCTATCCATCCATTCATAAAATAATTTATCCATCCATCTATTCATAAAATAATTTGTTCATCCATCCAATCATAACACAATTATCCGTCCATCCATCCGTCCATTCATAATATCATCCATCCATAATATCATTTATCCATTCATAACATCATTTATCCATCCATCCATCCATCCACCCATCCATCACATCACATCATATATTTCATGTGAACTATTCATCCATCCAGCTATCTGTCCATCCATAACATCCATAACATAATTTATCCATCCATCCATCCAGTTGTCCATCCATTCATTCATAATATAAATTATCCATCCTTCCATCCTGTTATCATCTATCCTGTTGTCTATCCATCCGTCCATCCATCCATCCATCCGTCCAGTTGTTCAATTGTCCATCCATCCATCTAGTTGTTCATTTGTCCATCCATCCATCCATCCATCCAGTTGTTCATTTGTCCATCCATCCATCCAGTTGTTCATTTGTCCATCCACCCATCCAGTTGTTCATTTGTCCATCTATCTATTCATAAATGAATGAATTAATGTCCATGCACAACTATTTCATACTTCCCACCCCGCTTCTCTCTCAGGGCAGTCAGATTCTGAGCTCGCTCTCATTGAAGGAATACAGGGCCTGTGTGCAGATGATTGAGAAGAACATTCTGGCAACAGACCTTGCTATTTATATAGAGTAAGCTATACCGGTAATCCTTTTCCAATTCAAGCTATAAACATACATGTTCACACAAAATATGTTAAAACACAACAAGCTAAATGTGGCTGTATGGGTTTATTTAACTATAGGAAGAGAACAAAGTTCTTTAAACTTGCTCAGAATAACAGCTGTCTTTGGAAGGATGAAGGACATAGAGAACTGCTGAGGTAAAAAAATATACAAAATATATTTTGAAGAATATGAACATTAATGCACAACATTCACTCATTTATGACTAAAAAAAATAATAATAAAAATACATTTCATCTGATGCACATTCTCACTTACAGTGTAACCCACAAAAACCTACACATTTCTTGTACTTCAAACAACACATACACATATAATTATTCTGTTTCACTTTTTTCTGCTGCCATTTTATGACTGCAGAACAGTTGCACAAGAACAGGAAACACTCACCTCATTTTGTTTGCTTGTAACCACTTCCTGTCTCTATATTAACTGATGTTCCTGATCTAAATAGGTCAATGCTAATGACAGCAAGTGACATATGTGCAATAACCAAACCATGGCCAGTTCAGAAGCGGGTGAGCATCTCCCACACACACATTTGTATGCATGCATGCAGATACACCACAACCACACATGCATTCAAGTGTAGAAACACACACTTGTATACGCACATACACACATTTCTCTTTCTTTCTCGTCATCTCAACAGATTGCTGAACTCGTAGCAACAGAATTTTATGCACAAGGAGACAGAGAAAAGTGTGAATTCAACATTCAGCCAATTGTAAGTTTAAAGTTATGTGTTTACTTTCTCTACTTCATTACTTTTGTACAGGAAGATATTATATTTAAGAGGAAGAGGGGGCATATTATATTATGGTTTCCAAAATAATTCTCTTTTTTACAAATAGTTAGTTATTATGTTGTTCAATTAGAAGTTGAATCTCTTTCTCACAGGATGTGATGGACCGTGAAAACTCCTCTCGGTTACCTCACATGCAGGTTGACTATATCGACGGGATTTGCTCTCCACTTTATGAGGTGAGGGCCTGCCTGCACACATCCTGTTAGAAATGTGTGTCAGTATGTGTGTTTAGTGAATAAGAGGCATTTCTGCTGCAATGCTGTGCCTCCGTCTTGCAAAAGAAGAATATAGTCTATACCTACTCTTTCTCTCTCTTTGCTCTTCTTTTCCAGGCCCTGGCCAGCATTTGTGAGTCCTGTTCTCCTCTGAAGGAAGGTTGTAGAAGCAACAAAAAACACTGGCAACAGCTGGTGGACAGCCGAAAGGAAGAAAATTCTTAAAAATTAAAAGACAAAATGGAGAAAGGGAAGAAGCAACTTTAACTCTTTTGGGGGGCCATTCATAGAGTAGACCAGCAAGAGAGAAAAAAAGACTCAAGGTCGTATCTGATATTCAGATTATTACTATATATCGAGGGCTTGGAGCCAGAGGGGCGTAAGTGGCTTTTGACAAACTTTACAGGAGAGACAAAACAAAATTTTGACCACACTTCAATCACCTGTATCATTAACCTTAAACCACAAAAATTGCAACCACAGGCATACTTACATGAATGAGTATTTAAGTAAAAAATGTATGGCATATTAACACAATGAACATGTTCTAAAACATTTTAAAATAAAAAAATATGTCAAAAACGTCAGATACGCCTTTTTGGCACCAAACATTTCTAAGTCTTCTATGGACATATTGGGCGTATCTGCTGAACAATGCAGAAAATAATTGATCAAAAGGGGAATTGATTGAATAATTAACACTTGAATCACACTTGAACAAGTAATTATTTTTCATTTAACTCATTCATTATTATTATTATTATTATTTTTTTTTTTTCACCTTTCCATTCTTGGCATCTGCTGAACACTACAGACTGTAATTAAAGTCACTGAACTTGCTAAACACACTTCTGATTGGCAATTCATGAGTTGTTCAATTGATTTCATTACAATTCTTTTTTTTTCAATACTCTATTTAATTGACAGTTCTCTCGTGTTCTTTTTGCTTTTTAGTTCTTTTCCCTCACCATCCTTCCTGGAACATGAATGCCATGTGAATTAATGTAGCCTTGGCCAGAATTTCTTAACCTTTTACGTTGGTTTCTTTTCCAATTTTCAACATCTCTCTGTCTTTTTCTTCCTTTTTGTGGTGTGTTGGCATCCTCTTCCTGGCCACTTTCAACCCCTCCCTCCTAAACAGGCTCAATGTCTACTGTCTCAGTCCCTCGATCTTCTTCTGTCTCCATGTGTCCCTCATCAATTGCATGATCTGTGTCCCTGCCTGTCTCTCTTTCCCCATCTTCTGCTGTCTCCATGTGTCCCTCATCTCTCTCCCTCATCTCATGCTGTGTCCCTAAATTATATAATTAATATTTATTAATATCCTACATGAATGCCCTGATACTAATAATTCGGGGTAAGGATTAGATAAGGTAATGTTCTAACTTATTTTCTATGCAAGTCAGAACTCACTTCCTCCATCCATCTCCATGTGTCCCTCAAGTTGATCTCTCTTCCTCACCTCATGTGGCTGTGTCCCTTAATGATTAACACATTAATATTTATTAATATAATATCCTACATGAGTGCCCTGAATCTATTAGTTTAAGGCTAGGGTAAAGTAGATTATGAGAAAGTTCAAAAGAATATTCTCTGTCAGAACACAGGCACAGTTAGCCAGATCAGACCAAACCAATGGGATTAACGTTAGCCATGCTAGGCTAGGCTAACAAGGTAAGGCTCTCAAGGCATGATTATGTCTTACTGTCATCACTCTTGTGAGGAAATGCATTCAAACAACTCTGACTCATCTTCAACTTCTTCAATATACACTCACCTAAAGGATTATTAGGAACACCATCCTAATACTGTGTTTGACCCCCTTTCGCCTTCAGAACTGCCTTAATTCTACGTGGCATTGATTCAACATGGTGCTGAAAGCATTCTTTAGAAATGTTGGCCCATATTGATAGGATAGCATCTTGCAGTTGATGGAGATTTGTGGGATGCACATCCAGGGCACGAAGCTCCCGTTCCACCACATCCCAAAGATGCTCTATTGGGTTGAGATCTGGTGACTGTGGGGGCCATTTTAGTACAGTGAACTCATTGCCATGTTCAAGAAACCAATTTAAAATGATTCGAGCTTTGTGACATGGTGCATTATCCTGCTGGAAGTAGCCATCAGAGGATGGGTACATGGTGGCCATAAAGGGATGGACATGGTCAGAAAAAATGCTCAGGAAGGCCGTGGCATTTAAACGATGCCCAATTGGCACTAAGGGGCCTAAAGTGTGCCAAGAAAACATCCCCCACACCATTACACCACCACCACCAGCCTGCACAGTGGTAACAAGGCATGATGGATCCATGTTCTCATTCTGTTTACGCCAAATTCTGACTCTACAATCTGAATGTCTCAACAGAAATCGAGACTCATCAGACCAGGCAACATTTTTCCAGTCTTCAACTGTCCAATTTTGGTGAGATCTTGCAAATTGTAGCCTCTTTTTCCTATTTGTAGTGGAGATGAGTGGTACCCGGTGGGGTCTTCTGCTGTTGTAGCCCATCCGCCTCAAGGTTGTGCGTGTTGTGGCTTCACAAATGCTTTGCTGCATACCTCGGTTGTAACGAGTGGTTATTTCAGTCAAAGTTGCTCTTCTATCAGCTTGAATCAGTCGGCCCATTCTCCTCTGACCTCTAGCATCAACAAGGCATTTTCGCCCACAGGACTGCCGCATACTGGATGTTTTTCCCTTTTCACACCATTCTTTGTAAACCCTAGAAATGGTTGTGCGTGAAAATCCCAGTAACTGAGCAGATTGTGAACTACTCAGACCGGCCCGTCTGGCACCAACAACCATGCCACGCTCAAAATTGCTTAAATCACCTTTCTTTCCCATTCTGACATTCAGTTTGGAGTTCAGGAGATTGTCTTGACCAGGACCACACCCCTAAATGCATTGAAGCAACTGCCATGTAATTGGTTGATTAGATAATTGCATTAATGAGAAATTGAACAGGTGTTCCTAATAATCCTTTAGGTGAGTGTAGGATTCATCAGTTTGTTTCATAATATTCATCAAAATCGTTTCTGCCTCAGACAGTTCCATGTCTGCAGTTGTGTCAGCCATTTTGAATGCAGTTTTAGGGCACCAACTACACTTACGCCCTTCTGGCTCTGAACAAAAATGTGGGTCCTACATGTATTTTTCAGAGCCAGAAGGGCGTAAGTGGACTTACGCCCTTCTGGCTCCAAACATTACTCACACTTTTGTGTTAGGTCTGTATTGTTTTGTTGCTTTATTCAATACAGTTTGATCTCAGATAGGTCTTTTTGGCACAACTAGATAGAGCTCATCAAGACCTTTAATTTGATATATAGAACTCATTTTCGCCCAAAATGCCACTTACGCCCCTCTGGTTCCAAGCCCTCGATATGATGACATTAAAAACATTAACCATTTCTTATGTACTAAGATTATTAACACTCTCCATCTGGTTTATAGTCAACACTAAAACAAAGCGAAAAGGAAAAGAAAAAAAAAACTAGTGTAATAAAGTGAAAGAGATGGACTGAAAGAGATTGACGCAGGTATAAGTTGTCACAACCAGTTATGCCATCTATACCTGTCATTCTTGATCTTCAAATAAACCGCAGACTTTGTGAAATATCATGTACGCAAGACAAGTTCCTGGTTGGCTTTGTCATACTAATGAATCATTACTAAATCATTTTATATGTACATGTCATATGTGTTTAAATATGTGTTGTTGAGTTGTTTTAGACAAGAAAGCACAACTTGATTCTTGATTCTACTTAATAATGTTTCTGTTCATTCCTCAAAAAAAAAAGGATTCATTTTAATTAAATTCATATGCTTGTAAAACTGAAAAGATAAAAACATTGTTTATGAAGTGATTTCTGATAATACAATTATTTTGCATAGAAAACATGAAAAACAAGAGTCTGTTATGTTTTTTTTTTCAGAACACACTAATATTGTTGCATTTAATTGATTTATTACTCCCACATTGATTATTACAGGTTGACCTGATAATCTAACATCACAGCCATGCATATTTCCTGTCATAAAACTGAAATACTTGTCCAAAGTGCAATGAAATTAGCGGCAGAAAATGGGGGAGTGCCTGACGGTGCAACAGAATGGTGTTTTCTCTTGATGTGGTCACAAGTCTTCACGTGACCTGTGGCAACATGTGCAGTCTTGTATAGAAACAAGTTTGCCAGATGTGCCTTTCTGACCTACTCAGTATACAGGGCAATGCTCTGAGAGACTGACAGTAGAGCTAGTTGCTCAAACACAGACAAAAAACATACTTTCAGATTTTATTCAACCTTTAAATCCACTTCATTAGGGGAGTCTAACTAATTTCTAAACATCATATGCATTAGTAATAATTTTCATAATTATATTTTATTGAATTATAAAGTGATTATTTTATTTCTAAAGAACATCCAAGAGTCAGAGTAAATCCTCTGTTTACAATGATTTAAAAAAAAATTGGCGATAAAAAGTAGTGAAGCGATCTTCAAGCCTCATGTTTCATTTTCTTTTTTATAAATAACTGGGGTTTTTTTCAGCGAAAGAAACACTCAAAACAATTGGACCTTGTATAAGCAATAACCACAAAAAGCTAAAAATGAACCATGATTTTTTGATCGTTAAAAGAGCCGTTTCATTTTTCTTAAAGAGTCAGGAGAAAATGCATTGCAGCCATCTAATCATTAAAAATATATTAATTAAACTGGTTGTCATTGAGTTTAGTGCACCTTTTTAGCATGTACATAAATAAAACAGGCTAAATAATCAAATAAATATGTCTTTAAATATGTAAATGGACAAAAAACAAATGTCATGAAATTTAGTACAAAATAATTTTTATTAAAAAAAAATATATAATAAATAAATATAAATACAGCACAAAACTCCACATTGAAAAAGCTGTTTTAAACATAAACCAGCAGAATGTCAGGTTAAAATATCAGATGTGCACAGCATATCGTCAAACTCAACATTGCAGATGATCCAGATATTCATGGTTTTCTGCTGCAAAACAAAAAGACACTTATTTAGAGGCATTATTATTTCCTTGAGAAGACCTGATCATTTGTAGGCTACTTTTTCATTGGTTGTAGTTTTTTTTTTTCAGCATTTGTGTCACTATCCCAAACAAATGATGAGAATTTATAGACACTTACTTGGCAAGGATCTTCTCAATGACCTTCTTAACCCAGGGAGCAGTGGGGTCCAGACAGATCTCTTTCCTGGATCCCTTTAGGGTGGCACTAAAAAGTAAGAGGAAAAAAACAGTAAGAACCATTTTTCTGATTGTATTCATCTGGATCTATGTAATCTGTAAGTATTATGCCATTGTTAAGGTGAAAACTCACATGATCTCTGTGTCTTTACAGTGTGGGCTGGGAGGGAAGAGCTCCACACTCTCTATGTGTTTACCAATGCGTCGACTCTCTGTTTCAATGCAGTGACAGCGTAGATCTACACCCACACCTTTAAGACTCATTCCTGAAAGCAAAATCACAAGAATAAGTTAATATTGTCTTATCACATACATGCATGACTTACTAAAGTGCCTACTATGTACAAACTATGGTAACTGATTAACCTGAAAAAAAAACGTTTTATAGCAGAATTTGGTTTTGCAATTGACTTACCTTCACCAATGGTCAGGAATGCCAAGGCAACAATAACAAAGACTGAAAAGATTTTGCAGTTCATTCTGCCAAAGCGAAGCTTAGATTTACTAATGAAAACAACAAAATGAAAAGTATTCTTGATGCTAGTTGCTTTAGGTGTTCAGTTCTGTTGGTGAATGCTCCACATTGTGGAATTGCAGCTCTTTTAAAGCTTTCTCCTGGAAGTGAGTCAGAGGGAATTGCGCAACATAACCGTTTGGGAAAGTTTGTGCTGAGGTCACGAGGATATGAAGCTCATCGTGTCACCCTCAGTTATCCACGTGAAAAGAGAGGAATTTTTGAAGTGATCAATATTGACTTAGCATTGCTGTATATGACTTAGCATTTAGTGTTTTTCAGTAATAGAAAAAAAATAAAACAATCATTCAAATCACATTTATCAAATCTGATTAAAACATAGAATTTTGCAAGACATTAATGCAATACATAAATGAATGCTGATTATGCAGATACAAATTACACTCACTCTTAAGTACTACACCAAATAAATAAACAAACTGAGCCACAAGCTAGTTATAACTCAAAGTGAAACTGGTCCTTTTAGAAAATGTAATAAGCTAAATTAGGGGTTTTCAAACTGGGGACCAACAAACTACAAGCAGGTGAGATTCCGCAAAATGTCTTTTACCAGGAGACTCAATATATACACACAGATACATATTTATTTATTTACATTATTTATCTGGCAAAAACACAGGATCTCTTTTAGCCACCAATAAAAATAGTAAATATGAATATAAATAGAAGCCTATATAACTGCATAAAAATAGCAACCAACGGCAGAAAGTAATTAAATAATAGCCTATATTATTTTGTAAAATTATTGTAATAAACATACTTAAATGATGCGGACATAAATGAATCGATTAATCGTTTTATTCAAATAGTGCATTTAGAAGTGCACTAGTGCATTTAGAAGTGCACTAGTGCAATAGTGCATTCAGGAGTCGTCTGAGCGATCCGGATCACAGAGATTATTTGGACTTTCCAGAGGAAGTGAATGTATAGACCAATCTTTTTTTACAGTCTATCTATGGCCAATGCGGAGATGTGGCATTTTGTCACGATGGCCTAACACTCTTCTCTCGGAAAACAGCATATTTACTGGAAAGATACTGTTATACCTCTGAAATTGAAATCAATATTGTCGCTACTTTCAGTAACTCCACAAAACTGTCATGAACGCCAAACAAGTATAGGCCTATTCATTTATTGTTCAGCCTTAGCTGAAAATTGGTCTTTCGTCTCGCCACACATTCACAAAACAATTAACAATATTCAATACACGTCAAGATTAAAATATTCACATTTCCTACCTCTTATTCAAAAGACTTATTGCATTTGGTACAAAAGTTTGTTTATATATTGCTTTAATCGCTTTTGGTGTTCTGTAGCGACGACGTGATGGTAATAATTCAAAAACATGATTCAAGGGGTGTGTGTTGTGTCTCTTGTTACAGTCAAAGCTTTTCTCTGAAGAGCAATTTGATATAACTGTGTGACTGATTTTTGCTTAGATCTTATTATTTTTCCTACTACTCTTGTAATTCTGTCTAATTTTACTTTATTCACAGATATAACTCATCCAAACCACAGTTATATTATACCCTAAAACACTCTCAATTAAACTTATATAAACTCTTTGCAGAACAACCCGACTTAAAGAAAATTCTCTTAGCAAGAATAGCCTTTGATATGCTTTCTTATATACAAATAAGATTCATTATCAGAGAAATTCAATTTACAGTCATGGTTCCCAAATACTTAAAAGGCTTCACAATTTCAACTGTTTGATCACATAACATTATTTCTGTTAGAGGCTCTGAATAATTTAAAATCAACTCTTTTGTTTTACTTAAATTTATCAATAAAGAACTTGCTCCATACCATTTTTCTAGTTTCAAAACCTGCTCCTCGTACTCAAAATGTACACAGTCTTTCCATAAAAGTGCCACAAGTGCCATATCATCTGCATATTTGTATAATTAATAATTCTCATGCTGCACTCTTATACCACTTGTATAAACAGAAAATAAAAGAGGTGGCAGGACACATCCTTGGGGTGACCCCGTGTTTAAAGACATAATATGTGATTTAAACCCCCGAACACAAACTCTCATGGTCTATTTGTTAAAAAAACCTTTATCCAATGTACTATTCCTCCATTTACACCATAGAGCCAGGAGACGTTCCAAGAGTGAATGTATCTGCAGTATTAAAGGCCTTTGCTTGTTGTAAATGGCTAGCAATTGTATCAACCACAGTAAGCGTGGCATCCTCTGTCCCTCTTTGCGATTTGTATGCAAATTGCAGTACATCTAGTTGGTCTGATATTGTATGGTTTAAGGTGATAACTAACTACTCTTTCCATGCATTTAGCGAGTATTGATGTTAGAGCCACAGGACCAAAGTCCTCTAGATTTTTTGCTCTCACTTTTTTAGGAAGGGGTCGTATAAATGATAACTTCCATGTATTTGGTATACGATCTGTAAGTCTAATAAAAACTGAAATAATTTTGTTGAGGGGTTAGTTAGTTCCTTCTGCACATATCTTTAAAACTCTGCCCTTAAGGCCATCTGGTCCCGGTGCTTTATAGGGCCTAATACATTTAAGGGACCTTCTGATCTGGTCAACTGTTAACCAAATCGACGGCCCCGCTGGAATCCTATCACTGATTTCTTCAATCTTATTCCAATTATCAGCTGCATCATATCTTCCATAAAACAGATTAAAATCATTAAACCATTTAAAACCATCTGTCCCTATTATTTACATCTCTCGAGTCACGCTCCATCATCTTATTCAAGCCTTGCGATGCACTCATTGCATCTTGATTCGCTAACTGATCCACCTTACATTTAAAGTCAGTTTCTGCTTTTTGTATCATGGCTCTCAGTTCCTTCCTTTTCATTTTAAATTCTCAAGACTAATTTTAAACTCTAAAGACTCCAAGGTGACAACAATCCATTTACATAGCCTATAATGTTTTTACGGATTTCTATCATGCTTCCACCAATATTCTTTCTCTTTTCTCTCACCTTTTGTCATATCCTCGAATTTAAACAAATAATTAACTCACCAGTAGCCTATTTTTTATACAGCACATCCTTGTGACCAGTTGTTATCAGTTTTGCTTATATGTGAACAGTCACAGTGTGATAATTGTTGGTATCGTAACCGAGAACATTGATTATGACTGCTTGTGTGAACACTGCACAAATGATGTTGAAAATAAACATATTTGAAAATGGATGACATGGTAAAATATAAACTAAAATGTTGGATTTTCTGTAGACAGTAGAGTAGTGTGAGTGTTAGGCAATGTAAGTCGCTAGCCGCCTTATTTTTCACGCAAGAGCGGGCGCCATTTTTTAAATATAATGTGTTAGATTTCCGGTAAACCACTTCCGCTAATTCCGCTAAACCAGGGCTGCCAACTCTCACGCATTCACCGTGAGACTCACGCAATAGGCTATATGCACGCATAAGTTCCGCATTTGACACAAGGATGCTCGTCAGTTTCCGGTTGGGGAGATTAAAGCGGAGGAAAACCGAGGAAAACGGGATTATGGCAGAGTCTTCAAAATTTACTGTCCTCCCGTCTTTGAAACGAAACTTTCATACGTTTAGATGTAATTTTATATATAGTTATGTTTATTTAATATAATTTTAAAAAGAAGCATAAACACAACGGGGTGTGTCTGTTTTGTCAGTTTTTGTGACTAACGCTTCTTTAGTATAACCATGGAGTATACAATTCAATATAAATTCTCGGTATTGCATTGGACTCTATGATCGGCGGAAGTTATCGAGCATCCTTGACCTTCACCGGAAATACCGCCGTGCATAGAGCCCATTGAGCCAATTCTCACGCTCTCACGCCACACCCCCGATTTCTCACGCTGAAGTGTCAACCCAGTCGGTCAAATGCCTGAAAGATAAGTTTATCTATAGATCTACCAGTTGAGCCATTCGTGATCGACTAGTTTTACGAGATGGTCCTCACTGCAGAACATGAAATCCACGGGGAGGAGTCGGATCTAGATCCAACTCCTCCCACCTTACATATACCTAAACCTACCCATCTCCGCCCCCTGATCCCTAAACACACCCCTAATCCCTAAACCCACCCCTAATCCTACCCATCTCCACCCCTCGGATCTTGATCCGACTCCTCCCCGTGGATCTTATGTACTGCATTGAGGTGCTACTGAGTTTTACCGCAAATTAGTTAAAATATCCTGTAATCTATAGCGAGCGAGCGTTTATGCGAGACAGATGTGTTGAGCTCCTAACGGCGCGCTCCTAATCGCGCACGCGCACACGACGGCAGAGAGGTAAACGAGCTTGCGTGTCTTTCGCAACACAACCCAGTGGACAGTTCACTGTATTGAGACAGTTGAGAAATAATAATATTTTTACAGTTTTCAACAATAATTGTCATTGTTGAACCCTTGCTCTTATTATATTTCTGATTTCTCAGTTTTGTCATTATTTTAGCAAATAATTTATTTTATGTTTTGAGACAGTTTGTTTGAAGAAGTTTTAAAGAGTTAGTAAAAGAGTAAAGTAAAAGTTAAAACTTTTTTATTTAAGTAGGCATCTATTTTTTATTAAGTAGGCCTATTTATTTTGTATTAATACATAACTGTATTCATTCATAATGTATCATTATTGCGTGACATTTGTGTCAATAATCGTCAAGCACAGGGGACTTCGCGTAGTGGGAGGGGGCCCCCAAATCAAATTCTGCTTAGGGCCCCCAAAAGGCTCGGACAGGCTCTGGAGACCAGACAGACAGTGTGAGTTTTTTGTGACAATTGTGAGGGAAATACACAATTTATTCCCATAAACTGTGTAGTCAGCCGTTCTCCCTCCCATCTGCACTGTGTGAATTGTGAACGCAGGCAGGTCAGTGAGTTACCTTGAGTTACAGTGAGCTCCTTGTCTCCATCCAGTTTAGGCTGGTAATTAATAGGCCTGTTATATAGTTTATATAGAATTAAGTTAGCAATAGCAGAGTTGTTTGTTTTGCAGCACTGAGCAGTTATTTTACATAACTTTATCATAAAAACAGTACAAAAGCATTTCCAGATGACAAATATCTGGACATGCCTAGTAGTTAATGTTAATTATTGTTTTCTAAGAACAGAA